GCTGGGCATCAATGAGCTCCTGGTTGGAGGTGTAGAGAAGAGGGACCATGAAGAGCGCAGTGGTGGCAATCAAAGAAAGGCCCCAGAAGGGAACGATCTTGACGAGGTAGTAGGCAATGAAGGAACCGATGAAGGCCTGCGGTGGGAAAATTGCGTCAGTCTCAAAGATGTCAAGAATTGTGGAGAGTGTCACGCGAGCAGCTTACAGCAGCAGAAGCACCAATGTTCTCGGCGAAGACGATGCGCTGAGCCTCAATCACGAAGAAGTTGATCAGCTCGTGAACGTCTCCTATGGCGGCATCGAGCGTCTCTCTAGGAATGACGTGGTAGCGTCTGGGGCGGAGCTGGGTAGCAAGGCCGTTATTGAGGACGAGCTTGCCGGCGACCTCGGCAAGGACGGTGGTGCCGAGCACCATCCAGGTGAGCTTCAAGCTGTATCGCAGGACATCGAGGTAACGCGCAGCGAAGATGAGGGCGACGATGGATGAGTAGGCAATGGCCGAGGCACCTGTGGGGTGGTTTGTCAGTCGGAGTCGGAGGCCGGAAGGAGTCCGAGCTATCACGTACGAGGGTTGTTCCACGAGATAAGCTCGAAGAAGAAGGAATGGTAGTGAGTCAAGGGCTGGCCGGTGGCAGCAGGGTTGGCGGGCGTCTTGCGGGAGGCAGCGAGGTTGCCGAACTCATTTGAGGTCTTTGCGGACTGGTCCTTGACACTCTGGGCGACGGGGCCTGAAGGGGAGGATTCTGGTCAGTACTTGACGATGCGCCACAAAGACGTCATGGGAGGGAGACATGGGGAAATAAAACGTACCGGTAGCAACCTGCTGGTAAGCAGCGGCAGCGTCTAGGAGGGAATTGTTAGCTTATCGGGGTCGCTGGCGATGGGGAACGAAGCTTGAAACACTATTCGCACAAGTTAGCCGGATGTTCGCACGAGGGGAAAGATCTGGAGCGGGAATGGCGGGATCTCGGGGGACAGCGATAACGTACCTTACTCTCCTTGGTAGCTTGGATGTAGGAAGTACCGTTGGCAGAAGGAGCCGTGGTAGGGGCGTCCGGGAAGTCAGACATTGTGTGTGATCGCAACGAGGATTCTGGCGATGTATGTGTGGTGTTGTTGTTGAGGAGAGAGATTACTGCGGTCGGGCAGTTGCGGATGGGAGGTGTCGTGTGATGGTGGAGTTGCTAGAAAGCTACCGTATTTGCGTTTCAAGAAATCGAAGCTTGGGTGGGATGGAAGAGAGAAGCTTTGGTAAGAAGCAAGTGGCAGAAGCTTTTGGGGTATTGAGAAGTTCTTGAGATGTAGAAAAAGGTTTGTAGGTAGGTGGGTTGGAGGAGAAGAGAGGAAGGCCAGGTGTTTTTGTTGCAATGATGTGTGTAGGTAGGTCTGGAAGCTCAGGCAGAGGTGTAAACCGGAAAGGTGAGGGCGTGTGTTTGTGATTGTGTGGGTGGGTAAGGGTGGGTGCAAGACTGGCAGCAGGAGGAGGTGGAAGGTCAGGGAAAAAAGCACGGGCAGGGAAGGAGGGAGAAGGAAAAAAGGCTTTGTGTGTGTGTGAGAGACAGAGGTGGTAAGGTACGAATATTGGCAGTGCTGCTACTGCTTCTTCTGCTGGTGGTGCTACTGCTACTGGGTGACAGTGATGTAAATGAAGATCAAGAAGAAAGGAGCACCGCAGAGCCCACTGGGAGCGTCCGTGCCAACGCCAGGCCAGGCTTGCCAGGCTTGCCAGGACAAGCCCAGGGCGGCGGCGGGCCAGCCAGCGGGAGCAAAGGATAGGTACCTCATGGAGCAAAGCAACATCGACAGGACTACTGCGTAAGGTACTACGTGAGAAATGACCCGAGGAGGAGGAGGAGCAATGGAATACTCCATCAGTCCGTCACCTCCGTCCCGTCTGGGAATTTGGCAAGAGGCAGTGACGCTGTTGTCTCCCAAACAGGACCTACTAGCCGGGGAAAAGACCCACGTAGAGGAGCTTTTTCTCCCTTATTTCACCCTCCCGTCTATGTACTCCGTACTGCTCGTCCTACGCCATTTTTTGACACCACAACTATACGAATTCTCAAGTATCGCACTGCAGCACGAATACCAATGACTGCATAGTGGGGAGAGAGACCGGCGAGCACACGCAGCAGTACCTAGCACGCAGCACGCAGACGGAGAACGAAAAAAAAAGGAGAGAGGGGCGGCGGGTCGGGGTGTGGCTAGTGTCCGTAGGTTGCTGCGTACACTACTGCTGCGTAAGGTACCCAGCTTGGTTTTCCGACCTGTGATGACGCAAAAGCTATGCCACAGCAACCAATTGCTCGGTACCCATGGACTACCTCCCTAGGGGCTCCCAAGACGCGCTCCAAGGGGCTCTGCCGCCATACAATTCCTACTCCGTGTCCGCCAATGACGATGTATCATGTCAGTCTTCCCTCCCCCCTCCCCCTCCGTCTTTGGCGTCATCCCACTGCGTAGCGTCCATCGTTGGGCGCTAGCTATGCAGCCGGCATGTGACGTGCTCCTGCATTCTCCTCTCTATCTCTCTCTCTTCCTCCCATTGCTACCAGTCTTGTTGCTCACAGAAGTCTAGAATTAGCTACCCACCAGGTATTCCACCTAGTGACTGCAGCGGCTGAAGCGACCGGGGAGCACCTCAAAATCCTGGAAATCCTGAAACCATGGCACTTCGCTGATATCTGATGCTGCCCGCCACCCTCTCTCTCAGTCTACCTCTGCGCCCAGGCCGTTGTGTCCTCATCACCGTGCCACAACTGCTCAGTACAGACGGGCCACGCAAACAAGCCACCATATTTCCATTCCAGGTTGCGTCGTTACCAAAGAAGCCAGCCTGTTCATTCACCCAACCCTCCTCTCGTGGTACATTACCCAAAGAGGTTGGAGAAGCACACTACTTACCACAGTACTCTTGTGGTACCCACGATTATTGAGCCTGGTCCTAGCTTCACAAGCAGCACAGAAGCTACCCACTCCCTAGCGCCGCCGTGTGGCCCGTCCATTTTCAGCCCCTCCACCACTCCCAAGCAACCACGCGGAAAAAAAGAAAGAGAAAAAAACTCACGATATCACCTTGGCCCTCCCATATATGACAACAACTGCAAAGAGCCTTGTTATCCGTTGCTCAGACGCACAACTTCTTGATCCAGGACATCCCGAGCAAATCTCATAGCTAACGACCTGCCAGCACATCACTTATAGCCTCCAAAAATACGACAGAAGCGGCTACCCTGCCTCAAGCTAGTTCACCATACTTCTGCCGCCAGCAACGACCAGTCCACCGTTGCAAAAGAAGCTACGGCCATCAGACGAACCCATCTCTACCTGACATACCATTAAACACAGGCAAGCCACAAAATAACATCAGTCATACATAGCTTGCACCGGCCTTCCCTCCCCCCCGCGCCGGCTGTGAACTGGATCTGAACGCCCGGTCTTTGCGGCACGTGCTCCAGGCCAGGCTCTCAGTACCCTTCTCTACACGTGCCAAACGCTGGCACCGAGCCTGATAAGATGGAAGGGACCATGGTCTTTATTTTGTCACTTGACACACTTGGCATGTCTTTTCAAGTGACAAGTCAACACTAGAGCTATGCTTCTTCACAGACCACGTGTACCACCTTTTGTTATCTATCGTAATTGTCGCTGCTGTCGCCGCTGCTGCATCTATCCAGCCGAGAAAAAAAAAAGGGCTTCCCAAACCCCATGCGAGAATGTCTCGGTCAAAACACACACGAGGAAAAAAAACACTCAAACTGAAAGAGAGAGAAGAAAGAAAACCCTCCCCCATCGATATTCTCCATACCGCAAACAGTGACCCATCAGTCTCTTAGACAACGATATAAAAAGTAAACAGAGCATAACCTCTCCAAATCCACTTCTTACCACAGCAACATGCCCTCCAAACCAGCAATATCCCAGTCTCCCCCTCTCTCTCCGTCTGTCCACTAGTCGTATCTGTGCCACAGCTTTCACATGTGAAAGAAAAAAAAAAAAAACCAAAAAAAACCACAACACCACCCACCATCCACCATCGTAGCATCGCACCGCCACACTTTGATGTGTGGTCCCCAAGCACAGACAGAACGACATGGGGCACGATGCGTAGTGTAGTGTACCTTGCAAAAAAAACGCCAAGAAAACCCAAAGCTGCTGCAGATGCAACATCAAGGACCCACGATGTTGCCAAAACGGGTCAAAAGAAAAAGGGGTTCGCCTTTTTCCTGATCCCCATAGGCATGGGGGGGTCAAACTCACAGACCACTGATAAGGGTAGCTTTGCACTTTTTGCAGCTACCTTACCTTACTTTCCAGATTGCAAAGGTAGATTGCCCAAAGGCTGATAATTAACATTGGAGAGGACACATTGCCAGTCACTCTGCAGCGTAGTGTGAATTGATTCATGGTATTGATGATTATCCCTTCATGACTTTGAATTTCTCTCCCAATGGTATTCCGATACTATCTGTACTTTGACAAAAAAACAGTCCTGTTCCTCCGACAAAACCTCCAAATTCCTCTCTGCTCTTGAGGGGGAAGGGGGAGAGAGAGGATTAAAAAAAAACAATCAAACAAATGGGGCCGACGGACATCCCTAGTTTCATAAAGGGCGGAGACGATAATCCGTCCGCTCTCGCCGTCGGGGTCTGGACAGTGCCCTTTCCTCAACTCCGATGCCATGAATAGTATGAATGGAATAATAAAAATCAGTAAACAGTCTAGAATGCCAATGCCATGCAATGGGTTGTGTTTCGAAAGGAAGAAGAAAAAGAATGCTCCTCCAGGCGTGGAGCAGGCCTACTTCCACAGATGCAAAAAGCCGCCATCTTGCCCTGTCATTCCGAATGTAGTGATGAAGGTGTGACAAGCATAGAGGCCTGGTACCCGTTGCAAGAACCAGAATGCAAAATGATCTAGATGCTCCGAATGCTCCTCTAATTTTGTTGTTTTTTGGGAACGCCAATGTGATCGTGAAAGAGGTCGAACAGGGTCCTGATTATCTCCTCCAGCCCCAGAAGCCTCCGACCGCGGGCGTGGGAGCTGCTGCTGCTGCTGCTGGGGCGGGCGTCGGCGTGGCAGGTTTGGCGGGCTCTACCGCTGCTCCCGTAAGACGACCAAAGACACCCATGGCGGCTGAGGCCGCCGTTCCTGCCGCCGTTGCCGCAGGTTGTGATTGTGATGCCTCTCCGGTCACGAGGCTGTATGCTTTTCTTAAGCTCTCAAGCTTCTGTTTCGTCTCTTCAGCCTCTTGCCTGGCGATGGCTTCGGAGGTCTTGGCCTGCACGAGCTCCAACAGTAACGCCTCGTGCTGGTCATCTGTCGGTGGCGGAGCCGGTACAGGAGGCGGCGCCTGTATAGCCAATGGTGGCGTCGAGTCGTGAGGCTTCGGCATTGATGAGGAACGCTTGCTGAATATCGATCCGGCCTGAGACGGAGTTGACTTGCTCCTACCAAGTTTCAACTCTCGCAAGCCGCTCGCACCACTTGCGGAACTCTTCCTCACAGGCGAATCACCATCGGGCTGAGTATTACTCTCCGCACCGGCGGCAGATGCCCGCGCTCTCATCGTGTGTATTTGCTTCTCCAGTCGCTGTTTGTCCTGGTGCAAGATGCGTGTATGCGAGTGAGATTCCCGCACTTGATCCTTGAGCGTTGTAATTTCTTGTTCTAGGTCGTGCATTTTTCGGTTGTAGTCCTGCGATTGTGATACCGCGCTGGCGAGTTGGTCCTTGAGCTGCTGCAATTCCTGTTGCATTTCCGATTTGGATTCGCCTCTGGACATCCTGCGTTCGACGCTGCCGCTGCCATGGCGCCCGAATCGTTCTTCGACATTATCGAGGAGTTGTGACAGATCACCTGGTGATGGGGTATCTTGCTCGCCTGTCTTGGCAGTGGACACATCTCCCTCGCCTCCCTCGCGTGCCTCATTTGCGGGGTCATCGATCGCCTTGAGAGTATCGACGCTCGCATCGGTACCAACAGAGTCGTTGCTGGCCTTCTTGCGCAGCCCGTCGAGTAGCGACCGGACAGCTTGCTTATCGTCCTCGCGCTGTTCCCGTTCCTTTTGGAGTTCGTTTGCGAGCGATGCATGGTTTCGTTGCAATTCGGTCAATGCAGTGAGGAGGTCTTCGATCTGGGTGTGCAATGCATTCTCCTTATTGTTCTTGCCGCCATTGAAGGCCTTGCCGCCGCTAGGGATGGGGGTCGATTCGCGGATGGATGCGCTGTCTGTGTTTGATGAATCTCGGGAGACGGTGGTGGCTTCGGTGGATGCAGAACTGAGAACGCTGACGGAGCTGGCTTCCATCGAATTGAGGGTGGAGGCCAGGCTCTGCTTCGATGTGCTCCTGCGCAGCATGCTCAAAGGCCGTGACGGAGCGGTGAGGCCCGGGCTGAGGGTGGAGGAGGACTTCGGGGAGATGATGGTGGAGGAAGCCCAAATGCGGCCGAGGAATCGGGAGGCTGCAGTGGTCACGTCGGAGGAACGCGCCGCATTAGCGCTAGCAATTTGCGCGTCTCTGTACCCCTGCTCCAACTGTAGCAATGTCTCTCTGGTGACAACGCCCGATAAACTGACAAAGTCCTGCACAAATTCATCTGCGTTGTAATGGTAGCAATCCCACAGACCCCTCGAAAGGAGAAGTTGCATGACATCCTCAAGCTCGGTGCACGCTAAAATCCGGGCCTGATTCTTCTGCATCAGGGATAGGGCGACCCGCATCAGGGTCTCCGGGGCCCCCTCGGCAAAGATGACATCGTAGATGCGAAACAGCATCGGCAGGGGACATGTAACAGCAAAAAAGCTGAGGAACCATTGTGAAACGTACGCCGGATCGACTTGCAGTTCCTCCAGATGGTTCGATACTGGTGTCATGTGCTCTCGAAGAAGCTCTCGAAATTGGTAGATGCGGACATGCAGCCCTGACAGGTCTGGCAGGAAACAGCTTCGCAGATCATATCGTTCCATCAATCTGCCCATCTCAATGTTAGCCTCAACGTTGCATTTGCATTTGCATCGAAACCTTGTTTTGCTTTTTCCCTCGGACCCCTTTTCCCAGGAAATCGGGTGAGGGGGGTCGGGCGGCCGGTCGGGTTTGCTTTTTGGGATTTTGACACGTACCGGACTAAAACACAAAATGCCTGTTTATCGGGCATGTGCATCAAGAGAGGGCCGACAAGAAACGCCAGCCCTTGACAGTAACCAATTTTCGTATCGTAGAGACTGAAGCATTTGAGCACCCGGCCGAGCATGCGTTGTCCATCACCCTCGGGGTCGCGAAACATGTCAACTCCAGGGAAACTCCGACCAAGGTCTTTGCCGATAATGGGCTCGTAAGGACTCGACTCGCCCGTGAATCGCTCGTACTGTTCCTCGAGTGCGGAATCTCTTGCGCCCGCCATGCTTTGCCATACGACGCCTCGTAGCGGAGGAGGGATGCCTTTGCGTATCTTGTTCGACAGAAGCGTTGGCAATCGAGCTGCCGTCTGTTGATAATCCTTGACCAATGCGGCGTAAAACTCGAGATCGGTCATTGGTGGCGGGGGGAGCATCGAGTATCGCAAGGCCGGTGGTGTTGGCCCGTGGACCATGTGTCGTAATTGTGCCATTGATGGCGGTCTCGGGCGATTGGAAGCGGCGACTTGCTCCACGGCTTGAACTTTGATGGTCTTGGGGTTCGTCGCTAGCTTATCGTTCTCCTGCTCTAGCATAGCCAGCAACATGGCTGTAGACTAGGAATTGTGAGCCTCGACAAAGTTGCTGTTGGGGTGACCACAGCATGCACTTACTCTGTCTGTATCCGCGTCCCTAGGTTCTTGTGCTTCGGATTTCTGCAGTTCGTCCCAGTTGACTTCTTCCTCGTCCTCTTCTTCTCCCTCTTCGTCCACCACGGGCCTCTTGAATTCTATGGGCGTCTCGAGTAGGGTTCCCCTAGCTGGGAGTGAAGTGATACGGTCTCCCTCTTCTTCAGCTTCGTCCTCGCAGTCCACGAGCTCGTCTTGGAGATTTCGAGTAGCGGTCGTAACGGGTAACGGTGTCGTAGGGTCACTCGGTGGCGTGTCGTCGGTCTCGTCCTCTGGCTGATCCTGGGCCTTGGCCTCTAGCGTCTCTGTCGGGAAGGGAAGCTTTTCAATCTTGACGGTACTAGGTCTTCTCCTCGGGGGTGAATCGGGGCCAACATTGGTGTCGAGGGTCAGAGTAGGCGGCTCGGAAAGCCTGACAGTGACCATGGAATCGTGGGCCAACATCTTGGGCGTCGTCTCCCGGTGGTCGTTGTCGTCTTGGTTGGCGGCGGCGGCGGCGGCGGCGGGTCTCGTGTCGGATTTGGCATGCGTCAGCTCGGTGTTGTGGTCGACCTCATCCCGTTGCTGCAGCGCCAGGTCCATGGCCAGGCCGCCCGACTGCTTGATTGGTGTTTTGGCAACGAGAAATCACAGTAGTGACTGGAATGTGGACTCGTCGAAGGTGATCCCACAGTATGCGTAGGACGGTCAACGACGACGAGTGCGCGCGGCCGTGGCCCTGTTTCCAAGACTCATAAAATCTCAGGCCAATCTCGTCTCTCGACAAGTTTCCCGAACTCGAGGCCCGATGTGGTTCAACGTTGTCGGTGGGCGGCTCGCGAGCCGAAGGACTGTCGTACCCAATGAATTGCGTACGGGGTAGGGGGGAGGAGGGCGAGCGGCAGGAGAATGAGTTGGAAAGCCACAGGCAATGCGGATGATCAGGGATGTGCACAAGGTTGGCAGCGGTAACACAGCAAGCAGAGAGAACAAGACTCGGTGCGGGTGGTGGTTGTGTCCAACAAAGTGACTGGCTGGCTGCTGCTTGCTGCAACGGCGGATGGGTGTGGCTTTGGGTCCCGAAATATCTCCTCCAACGGTTTCCTTGTTCAATGGAGAGCAAGGGGGTATCGAGTAACGAACGACACGGCAGCGCAGCAGCGGGAGGGGGGGGGGGGGGGAGAAAACGGGTGGAATCCACAGATGGGCAGCCTCCTTGTACGAGCCGCGAGCGAGGTCGGGGGGAGGATGCTGAGTAGGTAAGCCTAGGAAAGCCGAGAGGGCAAAGGGCGAACTTTGAGAGTTTGAATAGGAACTGGAGGGAGAACCAGGAACTTGGAAGAATCAACCTGGAAGAATCAAGAAAGGATCGGACAGCGACAGAAGGGGATTGGGATTGGGCCTGCAGGCGCGTCAGTCAACTTGATCAAGTGCTCCTGTGGTTATGTCGTTTCATCGAGGGGCCAAGGACGCTGAAACGCTGGGGTGGGCGGCCCAGGGTAGGTGGATGCCGATGGATTGGCAACTGCAGCCTCTCGAATCTCCTGGGTAGCACCTTCAGTCTATTCTTGCAGAGTAGGGCAGCAGCAGGCAGCTGCTTCCTCTGTTGTCCGTAGGTAATTCCTTCACTTGCATCTTGAATTTACTACGGTACTACAGGCCCTGTGCCACCGGGAGACGTGAACTTGGGAAGGGGAGAAGCGGTAACTGAGAGACACGAGAGAGAGGCAGCCACAGCTGAGCAGTCAGGCAGTGGCAGTTCAGACGTTGCCAGGGCCAAAGAGTTCGCCTCTTCTAGCGTGAATAGCTTGGGAAGCTCGAGTGTGGTTTACCTAAGATCACCGCGGATACCAGGAGGCGTTTGTTTCCAAGCCCGGTCGATCCCCAAGGGAGTTGGTGGCGGTTTTTTTTTTTTTGGTGGTGGTGGTGGTGGTGCAGCAGTGGTCTCACAGAGTAGTAAAAAGTCTTGGTCTGATGGATAGGCACACACGAAAGAATGCGGGATGTGCGACAGGGGGGACGACAGAGGGGTGATGATCAGATGAGATTGGGTTGCGTTGGCAATGGGGATTGGGCGAATCTCGACTGGTCTGGAATGAAGTGAGCGGTCAAAGGGGAGTCGGGACTTGGGAATCCGCCCTGCCCTGGGGAAAGGGAACTACGGATAGATCATAGAGCCCTGCTGTGGCATGTTCTTTCCACTTGCATGCTTCTCTTTCGTCGTTTGAGTATGGAATTCAATGGCCAAATCACAGGGCGGGCCTGAGAGAAAGGGAGCCTGCAAACAAGATTCTATGCGTATACGAAATATGCCTACGAACGAGCATTGCCTAAAACGCAGTTAGGCAGGCTCGGATGCCATTGAGGGAGTTGACAAACGGCGCGATGCCCGGGTAAGAAGCGTTTGATTGATGACAGCGTTTTCATATGAGCCGGATGGCAAGAGAGGGGAACTCAATTTCCCAAGGGGCGGGCACCGGGGGTAAGGGTTCACAAACGAAAAACCGCGAATCCCACGCGCTCATTCGCCCTCCTGTCTGACGTGTAACCCGGGAATTGTTTACATCACTTCCTCACTCGTCACTCGCTTATCCCGTACCTTAGTTGATCATGAACACATCAATCGTACGAAGTATGGCAATTCCTACCAACAAACCCCCTATTTCTAGCATCAACGGTCAAAGGGTATCAACACCACCAACGAAACAAAGGACCAATAGCTACTTATCTATCCATGGCTGGCCAGACCAACAAAATCCAACAAATCATCTCGAAAGCTCGGACGAAATTAGCAGCAAAAAAGGCACGCGTGAAAAAAGCAGCCACTTTCTGCAAGGTACGGGACCGCTAGCATCCGTCAACGATCCAATCACGGGCCATGGCCCACCTCCTGCAGCGACCTGCACAGAAACAAGCTTCCACGCGTGCTGCACGACGGCAGGCACATTTCCATGACCTTCCCATCCCACCACATCCTCATCTGCACCAAGGCTCCAGGCTCGACAAACGCTGGAATTAAACACGCCGGCGGGGAGCGTGGGAGGGTCCACTCTGGTCATCATTTCGTGGATTTTTTTTTGTTTCCCTTCAGTCCTCCCATTTGCCGGGTATTACCGAGTACCCAACCACATCCACAAACGCCCAGCCCAACGAGCGGTCCAAGGGGTCCTCGGCTTCAGCCTTCATACTCCTGTGACTTCACAGTATCCGCAAACCTGTTGGATATCCATAAATATGATTCACGAATGATGTATCCGTACTCTGTAGTCAAATCAAGTTACGAATACTCCTTAGTCCGTACACACAACATGCACCTAAACGCCTATCTAGAGACTCTAACTAGGAAAGTATCATGACTACACACATCTCCGCAATTACTACCTACTTTTCATTACCACCATCATAGGACATACTTGCACTTACAAATTCCATGTACACACATACACTACGGCCCAGATCCTGTAGCTTCCATCCAGAAACCCGCATATCCCAAATCCTTTTCATAACGATGGGACAAGGGGGGGCAGTAGCACTGCTTCAGCCCACGGCCCTTTGAAATACCCACAGACGTGTGAAAGTATGCCACTCACTCGGGACAGACAGCCAAATATGAAAGAGAAAAAAAAGAGAAAAAAAACCCTGCTGCCGGAACGGGAGATTGAGAGGTCCTCCTTACGCCACCTACCTGTCGTCCTTGCGCGAGCCCCAAGCGCACCTCTCTGTACATAGTACGGAGATATAATATGGATAAAATTCGGATGTGAAAAGTTCTGTACCGGGAGATAAACGTATATATAAGATACATCTTTCATTACGATGTTTGTCCTGACACGCTCGTGGATGTCGACTGCGTTTGAAAACAATTTGATGCTCTGAGGACATGTGCCATTCTGTCAACAATTCTCGTCCGCAAATGACTTAATCGTGTTGTGCTAGATAATGCCTGCAAAGCCACAATAAAACGCATAGCATGGCACGGTCGTCGACGAAGCTGTCTCGGTATCGGTTGTCACCGGCCCGAGTCAAAACATATCCGATCCTGGGGTCGCGAGGATCCAACGAGCACATACATCAGTGACAATTGACAAGAGAACACAGCGCTTGCGCTTTGCAATTATCCAATCTTCAATTCGTCTCATCCACCTCTTTCGAGCCAATGTGCTTCCCCCATGCCAACCTATATAACACACAGTATGCCGCAACTCCATCGGCTCCAAAGAGTATAGTCTATGCAAACTTGGCTGACGGCCTCCTCTAAATCCATCAAACGCCTCGCAATTGCACCTAGTACAGCTCCAAACTCAACAAAGTTTGTAGCGGAAATCTCCAGCTGCGGCTCTCCAACGTACAGGGTGCCGGCGGGAGAGTCCGCCACCCGCGCGAAAACTGTGACTTTTTTTCGTTTTATACATGCCCCTAGGGTCCTAAACGCCGCCATGTTACTCAATCGCCGAGGCCGATCCACGTAGCTTCCCCACGTCTTGATCATGATAGAGACATGCCCTGCTGCTGATGTGCTCCGGGCATGTTCTGCATTTGCATGGGCCGTTGAGCTTGAGCCATGGCGGGGCTCGCGTGGTGGCTCGGCGGCCGCTGACCTTGTCCCTGCTGCCCCGGTTGACCCTGAGGGCGGCCCGCGGCCTGGAACGGTGGCTCCTTCTTTGGGTCCGCATTTGGAAACAGCGCTTGAAGTTTTCTGTACAGCTCAGATAGGTATTTGGATCGTTCCTCGCGGTCTGTCATCGGATCAGGGTTGTTCTCGGGAATGTCGCCTGGCGGCGTTGAATTTCGAATCTTGAGCGCCATGTTCAGTGGCGGGGAGGACAGGTAAGCGGGCGATGGGGGAACCTGGACGTTCCCCTTGCGGTCGGCTAAAGCGGCTAGGTATGCGAGATTCGCTTGAAGTCGTCGCATACAACTGTGAAGAAACCTGTCAGTATTGCTTTGTCTTCCACCTCATGTCTGTCTCAGTGACTCACTGGCTGTAGTCCTGCTGAACCGACCCTTCTTCTTGGGTCGGTTTCCTCGCCTGATCTCCTTCTCCAGGTGTCTCTTTCTTTAACTCGCTCAGCGTGTGTTGCAACTGCATCGACTCGAACAACAGCTCTTGATTGATCTCCAACAGCAGTGAAAACCTCTCCTGTTCGCGGGACTCGCTGCCGGGACTGAGGGGCGTCGATATCGAAGATGTGCCGTTGGCAGTCGCGTTCTGGTTATGTTGAGGAAATGTCGGGGTCTGGGGGGTCGTCACGGACGCGATGGAAGCCGAGTGCTGGTGCGCTGAAGCCGCAGGAGTCTGGCCATGTGACTGAGGTTGCGATGTCGGATAGTGCTGCTGTTGTTGTTGCTGATGTTGCGCATGTTGTTGTTGAGGCTGGTTTTGTTGATGTTGTTGCTGCTGCGATTGCTGCTGCTGCTGCTGCTGCTGCTGGGCGTGTTGCTGCTGCTGCTGTTGATGTTGAGCTTGCTGTTGCTGATGTTGTTGATGCTGATTTTGCGATTGCGGCGGCTGCTGTTGCTGACCCTGCTGTTGCTGGTGATGTTGTTGATTTTGCTGATGTTGTTGCTGAGGGTTTTGAGGATGTTGAGGTTGATGCTGATGCTGTTGTTGTTGCTGTTGCTGCATCGCATTGTTTGGAGAGCCTTGTCCACCTTGCGCGGCGCTCATCGGCCTCTGAGGTGTCGAGCCCAACTGCATGCCGCCTTGATTTCCATGGTTTCCTTGCCCCTGCCCTTGCTGCTGCTGTTGCTGTTGTTGTTGCTGCTGCTGATGTGCCTGCTGCGCTTGCATGCGCTGCTGCATCATCATCTGCTGCTGCTGTTGAGGTGTCATGCCCGCCGCGTTCATCGGGAAGCCTTGCATTCCTCCAAAGTTTGGATGTTGGCCGCCCGGCGCGGGCATGTTGCCGCCGTATGGATTGCCCTGGTAAGGGTTTTGGAAGGCCACTGGTAGAGACATTGATGTTAGCAAACGCGTGTTCCCGTGGATAGATGCTGGAAGATGATGCGGTGCCATGTCGTTTGGCGGGTGTGGGTTGACGACGATGATGATGACGATTGTGAAGGAGTGACTGCAAGACAGACGCGCTCTCGTGGCACCACAATCTTTGTCTCGATCATCGACGGGCAACACATGCTGCCACGGGGCAGCATCAGAGGGCGTGACGCAGATACGAGACTCTCTGGCCGTTGACAGACGTGGACACACACGGGGAGAGACAGGGCAAGGAAGGGGGCAGCTTACTTTGACCATTGGCAGCCATGTGTGGCATGCCGGCGTTCTGCATCATGCCTGCAGGACCAGCGCCCGGCATCATGGCGGGATTGGGACCGCCGACGAAGCCGGGCTGGCCTCCGGGCATACCAGCGAATTGATTAGGGTTGTACATCATCTGCTGGCCCGGTTGGGTTGGGACAGAGCCTGGCTGCATGTGAGGGTTCTGGTTTGGAGGTGGGGCGCCGGTGTTGAAGTTCGGAGGGACATTGGAGAAGCCGTAGCCGGGAGCGTACATGGCTGGGACGGGATGGGATAGGATGGGCGCGGAGCTATTATTATTATTGTGGTTTTGGGGGGACGGGGCTTGACGCGACGGTCCCAAGGAACAGGTCGAACGGGGGGTCCCAGGGGGCCTAGTCGAGAAGAGCGTGTGAGCGTGTACGGATAGGGTACTGTAGCAATAGACTCGGGCTTGCGACTCGGTCAGACACGGGCTGGCTGGCTGGCTGGTTCGCTTGTTGTCTCGCGCTTGGCTGGGCTGGACTGGGTTGGCCTAAACTAGGCGGAGGAGGTAAGGCAGAGGCGCGGCCGCAGCGAACGGGCGACGTTTCGTCGAGTCGACGGCAACAAGAGAGTGCGTGGAGTGAGGCGAGGTGGCCCTGGCCTGTCCGGGCCGCAGGTTTGTTAGACTGGCGGGATGACTGGCTCGTTTGCTTGCTGCTTGACGTGCGTGATGGGCGGTGGGGGACAGGGGTTGTACCGTCCGGCGTCAATAGGCTGGGCTGTCTCTCAGATAGACTGTGACCGAACTGACAGCCAAACTCTTTGGCCTATGAGCGAATTGAATACCGTAGGCTTGCGGCTTGCCAGTGATGGATGTATTTCGTATTAAGGTACGGAGTACAACCATGCATACGGAAAAAATCCAATAGTTCCTTTCTTTGCACTCGGAGGTACCTGGCTGTTTGGTAAGGCGTACGGTGTAAGGTACTCGGGGGCTGGGATGAGGCCGGCCCTGTTTGTCTCGGTCTCGTCCGTACTCGTCCACTACCTTAGGTATACCTCTCAGCAGGTACAGTAAGTAAAGGGAAGTAGAGCACACGGGGGTGTGAGAAGTGTAGAAATCAGGGGTCCAAAGTGAATGAGATGGGTACGGTGAGAAAGGGTGAAGGGCTAGGTACGGGTAACGGGTGGGAGATGACGTGGAGGGATGGGGCGCCAGATGAAAGGTTGCCAGTAAGAGATGAGGCAGGAAGGGATTGTGAGAAGCGTATCCGTAATTGCTCAGGGATTGGCGATCTCCAATCTGGTAAAGAAAGAGCCAAGGAGCGTCCAAAAAAGTGCCACAGCGCGGGCCGGTGAGACAAGACTAGAGCAAGCAGATGGCAATCGGGTGGTGGTCTGGCGCCGGGCTGCCACTTGAATCAGGAACGATGCCGAACTGGATAAGGTATCCGTAAGGTAGGCAAGCTGGCAAGGTCCCACGCGGTAGGTACCTTTCAGGAAGTAAAGGTGAGATAGAATGATACGCGGAGTGGAAGGGTGGGTGGCTGGTGCAAGACGGCACGGTAGGGTGCGGTTGGAAGCGAAGGGACAGGACGCAAAGCAACCCTTTGCGTACGTTTGACACGACGATAGGACGACAGGGCGACAGGACGACAAAAAGGACCTGAGATGCGGCCTTGGTGTGAGTGACGGTGGGCGTGGAGCATCAAGCGGACAGAGGTAAGGTAAGGTACGGATAGAGAGGCCAGGCGTGGAACGGCACGGCACGGTATCGGTGTGTCGGTGTGCGGTATGGTGAGATGAGGTGAGGTTAGGTGTGATGAGGTGAGAGCGGGTGTGGCGGCGCGGCGGGAACCTTGTCTAGAGTTCCAGTCCAGTTGCGGTCCGGCGATTAATATTGTCTGGGTGTGTGTGAGAAATGAGGGAGCCGCGTGTGTGAGGGAGCGAGCGAGCGAGATATCGGCGGTGTCGGTGTGTCGTGTTGTGTGTGAGGTGTCAGCCAGGCATTCGTAGGCAGGAGAGACGTGGAAAGGCAGAAACAGAATTTTCCTGCGTTCCTTTTCCACATGGGCCCTGGGGGGGGAGCTTGAGAAACGGCGGGGCGTTCTGGGAAGGGGGGCACGGGGGGGGAGGGAGGGGGCCACGCGCCGGGGTCTTTGGAAACCTGCGAACTTGCGCTTGGAACCTGCCCGGAAGATGCGCAAGGTGGCCAGTACGTACCTCGGGACGTCAATCGAGCAGTGGAAGAGCCGAGGCGGAGCTGCCTTTTAATTGGACTACCTCTGAGACCCACTTTCGCCGTGACAGGGGTGTGCCTGCAGCCGGCAAGGGTCATGTCTCCCCTCCCCTTTCTCGAACTTCTCAAGAATAATGGAAGGCACGATTCAAGTAAATAATACCTAGGTATCCGTACCGATTCCTGTACCTTTGTTGATGCGTAAGAACCTGATTATCAGAAAGCGTTTATTCTACAAATAAGAGACTAGTACTTTCTCAAAGTCGGTTGGGAGGCTTGAGAAATGCTTTGAGGTGATGTGATACCTATGGCACCTCTGACTACGTGTCCGTGTAGTGTAGAGACCAGGAAGGCCGCTGCCGCTAGACGGAGCACCTCGCATGGTCTGGCATCGCAGTACGGAGTACCTGCTCGAGGTATTTTATTCACCGAAAGCTACGTTGACGCCCTGATACCAGGTCAAGGCCCAGGACAGATGGTGCTTCCTACAGTTTCCTCGGCTTCCTTGTAGTGCTTGTATTTCCTACCAGGCTGACTCTTGTTCCCTCAAGACGCCCATTATACGCTTCATTCCAATATCCCATTGATCTAGCCTCCAACATTATCACCAACCCATGGATTCCTCAAGCACGAACCCCATCCAACAGTAGCTCACCGGATACGAGGCCCTCACGACGTATATGTTGTGCCGTACGTCGAGTTGCCGTACACAACGTCAATAAAGTTCTGCGCTATAATCTCGTCTTTCGATTTCACTTACGTTAGCCCAATATCCACACAAAAAGAAGAGCCCGCTAAGCAATCTAAACTTACCTGCACGTTCCGAAGGATGTAACTCGTCATACCATAGAAAGCTAGACTTGGCCTCCGACGAGTCGACGCAGGCCCTCGTCACCGCATCACAGGTACGGTACGGCGCCGTCACGTTCGCAGGCGACGACAGGTAACTCGAAGGGTCGGCGTGGACGTCCCGCAGCAAAGAGTGCACATCAAAGATGGAAAAGCTCGCCCCAGGCCAGCGCTTCTTGACGAGCAGGTGGAACGGTGCGCCATAGTCAAACATGGTGTTAACGTTCGTGCTGTACTCAAGCATCTTGAACTCCGTCTCCGTCGTGTTGTACGCCGTCTTATTGGTCCAGAACTGGCTGTCCCCGAACCCGCTCTTCCCCGGTCCCGTCGCGGCGTATAGCGGCGACTGCTCCAGCGGCGCAATGTTCAAAAGGACAAAGTGACGCCCACCCGTCTCGTAGACGTTGTCGAAGACCTCCCAGATGCAGTCCACGTAGCTGGAGATGGTCGTGCCCGCGGCGTTGGTGTCGGTGAGGAACGCGCCGTAGCCCAGGTCGTTTGTGCCAATCCAGAGCGCGTAGACCGTGTTGTCCGCCTTTCTGTTCGGGTAGAGCGTCTCGAAGGCCGTGTCGGCCTTGTACGCCGGTATCTCGTAGTCGAGTACGGAGGGGAACGGCTGCTTAATGGCTGCAAAGTCACGCGATATGATCTTGTTGGAGCAGGTGGCGCCGCTGACGGCGTAGCCGTAGTAGTTTGCTCCCGTCGAATTGGCGGCGATCCGGCCCCAGGCGTAGCCACCGCTCGCGGTCGAGTTGCTCGGTGGTAGCAGAGTGCCGGCCGGGGGAGCCGTGCCGTTATTGTTGATGAAGTACGAGAGCCGGCCTTCGTCGGTGTAACTGTCGCCGAAAGCCACCAGGTTCTCAAACTTTTTGAGACCACATTGGGAGGCCGTGGCCACCGAGGCCAGGGCCGCGACGAGGAGCGGGAGCATCACGTCAGTAAGAGACTTGCAAGACGAAAACACTCAGCCGGACAGACAATATGGGAATGCCAGGAAGGGAAGCGGAGACCAGGACTGACAAGCACCATGGCATAGATATCAGGGGATTGGCGTTCATATACCATAGCTAGATCCCATAGCCTCGTATCCTTGCGTCATGATGGGCCATAAGTCCTTTCATCCGGGACACTAGAATCGGGAGGGGCGGGGGAAGCTCGACCGATTCAGAGACGGACGAAGAATGGCCGCCTATGAAATAGGCCGGATCGTAGATAGTAGGAGCTTCCCCCTCTCCCGCCCTGTACGCGGGAGAGCGGTGACGAACCCGCATGATGCGGAGTTCGGTAGAAGAGATACCAAATATCTGTAATTTCCCCAGATCTTGACAAGGGATGGAGGCCACGATCATGGATGAGGGGTAAGTTGGGGAAAACATATCCTCGAGCTCCATAGCCGTCACATCGGTCCAGCACTAGCTTGATTCTGTCGAGCTGCCGGCGTGAGAGCTACGGCCGGCAGGTGAGGCACGACGTTGGAAATCCTTCTTGATCCTTGGAGAATGGGTCGGGGAGCTGTTCGGCTCATTCGTCATGCAAACTAGGAATTCTAGGCTGTGCGGGGTTTCCTGTTTGTTTCTCTGCTGACTACTGACATGGACATCCGACATTGCCGTACTTCAAAGAAAAAAAGCTGGCTTGGAATTGGACCAGACCCGTGGTGTTGGCGTGCTCGTTCATATTCAGCCTGAATGCAGGTGATGGCAGTTGACCCGCGACCCCGGGCCAGGAGCGGGGCATAAGTCCGGGTCGGCGAGCGGCAAGATCTTTGTTGCAATGCGTGCTCATCTACCTAGTGATCTTGGGCCTCGAAAGGCCAATTGGGTCAAAACACTGAGACTCAGCTGTATGAGTATGGTGAAGATACCTGAATGTTGCCCGTTGAAGACGAGGACGAAGATGACTTGGGGATTCGAATAAGCTTTTGGACCAGCCTAGGAGCATGCTTCAGCTTACATTCATCCAGCTGCAGATTTGCGTGAGGAGGAGAATCTAAGTGCTTATTCCGTATGCAGCTCGTTTGATATCAGAATTGCGGCTCTGTGGAAAGCCTGGAATTATAAAATGTATGACGAATCAGTACTCAGTTAAAGGTCGTCAGCGAACATTGAATTGCGGCTTGAAATCATCAATCGGCTTCATCACTTCAGATTTTGTCTTCATGTCCAAACATTGGAATTGAGCCGATGCCGAGCTTGACGGCTTCGGAGTGCCTGTTTTTGAGCCGAAATTGAAACAGGTCGAGATGGGTATTTCTACAGCTTTCTCACGCAAGAGTAGCCCGATCTGCGCTAAGGCCTGTACGTATCAGAGAAAACGATTTTTTCGGATGAGTGACAGAGGCAACACATCAAATTCCCATTGGCCAATTGCCGGTTTTCATGACCCGCTTAGGCCCGGGCAGGTGCCGACGTACGCTCCGGGGTCGGCGGGCCCAGCTGTCGGGATCCAGTTTACAGTGGCCGAGAGTTGACTCAACCCGACGTCGACGACGGTCGTGCTCAAGTGAGAGAGATTGGCGATATAAGGATTCACTCCGCTTCAGTATCCTCACAACATCTGATCAGAATACACTCTCCAGATACCCAAGCCCAAATGTCACCTTTTAACCTCGAAACGTGTGCGCGCCCGAATATTCTGGCCCTCGAGCCATATCGCTGCGCAAGAGAGTAAGTTTTTCACTCACACAAGACTCTCATGAGCATTCGTCGTCTCTAACACCACTCCTCAGCGACTACAAAGATGACGGAACAAACGTCCTCCTCGACGCAAACGAAAACGCCTACGGGCCCTCGCTGCAATCCGACTTCGAAGCCGGCAACCTGGGCATCGACTTCCAAGGGCTGAACCGCTACCCTGACCCTCACCAGCCGGAACTCAAGCAGCTCCTCTGCCGCCTGCGCAACACCCACACCCACACGAGCCAGGACCTCACCCCCGCGAACCTCTTTGTCGGCGTCGGCAGCGACGAGGCCATTGACGCCCTGCTGCGCTGCTTCTGCGCGCCCGGCAAGGATCGCATCCTGACGTGCCCGCCCACCTACGGCATGTACTCCGTCTCTGCGCAGATCAACGACGTGAGCATCGTCAAGGTCCCGCTCAAGGCCGCGCCCGAATTCGGCATGGACACAGATGGCATCCTCGCCGCGCTGAGCGAGCCGGACAACAACATCAAGCTCGTGTACCTCTGCACACCCGGGAACCCGACCGGCTCCGTTTTAGCAAAGGAGGACGTCCAGCGGGTCCTAGAACACCCGACGTGGAACGGCATCGTCGTCCTCGACGAGGCCTACATCGACTTCGCGCCCGAGGGCAGCTCCATGGCCGAGTGGGTGCTCGAGTGGCCCAACCTCGTCGTGATGCAGACCCTCTCCAAGGCGTTCGGCATGGCGGGCATCCGCCTCGGCGCCGCCTTCGCTTCCCCCCCCGTCGCGCGTCTGCTCAACGCCATGAAGGCGCCGTACAACATCTCCACGCCGACCAGCGCGCTCGCGCAGTACGCCGTCTCCGATAAGGGGCTGGCCGTGATGCGGGACAACCGCGCCAAGATCCTGACGCAGCGGGATCGTATTAATGCCGAGCTTCCCAAGGTGCCGGGTGTCGGCAGGTTGCGCGGCGGCACGGAGAGTAACTTTTTGCTGTACGAGATGTTGGATGCTGCGGGCCAGCCGGACAACGTCACGGCGTTGGCCGTGTACGAGCGTCTTGCGGAGAACAAGGGCGTTGTGGTACGGTTCCGCGGTAAGGAGCACGGCTGCCTTGGGTGTTTGAGAATTACGATCGGTACCGAGGACGAGGTCACGAGGTTCCTTGCTTCCATTGCCAAAGTCCTGGCCGAGGTGCGCGGTGCTGGGCGGCAGCCGGACGAGGAGAAGAAGGAGGCGGCCGCGAACGGGGTGGTTGCATAGATCGGGACAGTTCATAACGAGGCATTTGATAGATGATGGAAAGACGGCCAAACAAAAGTGTTTTTTATAGCATGGAACGTATTCGGTCGGGGCGATGGGACGGCGGACAATCATACAGGCATGAAGCCAAGGCAATTATGCTTGAATCAAAGTTTTCTTTTCCTTTCTGACTCAACTCGTGAATAAACATCTAGAATTGGTGCGTATTTCTGTATCCCTAGCACATGATCAAGAATCTCCTGAGCTGCTTCTTCCGGCGTCTTCCTCGAGACATTAACACCCAACTCAACAACCTCATCACCAGCCTTAAATCGATGAATCCTAGTCCCCGCCCGAAATGACACCAACAGCTCAGGATCAACAATCTTGCCATGCGCCCGCCTCTCGTCACTCACCAACCTCTCCAAGTTGACACCCTCATCACACGCCAACATAACCGAAACAAGCTTACAACCCCGCGCGCGCGCCGCCTCGAGGTACTCGGCACACATCGCGGACCCCACGTTGTCGCTCGACTGGAAATCGGTAAAAAAAAAATCTATACCGAATCGCGTGTTGAGGGAGACTCCGCCAGGGCAGTGAAGACGACGCCGCGAATGGCTTTGCGGAGGTCTTGGTAGCCTGGTTGGTCGCGCTTTAGGACGGCGTCGGCTGGGTTGACGAGGAGGTGGTTGTGGACTGAGCCATTGATGTGGATCATGGGTTGGGGTGCTTTTCACATTGTGATGTTGAGGTGTGAGTTGGGCGATGGTAGATCGATACTAAGGTGAGCATGCGTAAGTTACTTCCCAGTCGATAATAGCTATTTTAATGATATTTAGGTAAGTACTTATATTGTCAGTTGAGCTGAAGGCATCGACGAGTCGCTTACAGAGGTCGGAGTGAGTCACTTTGAGATCCATGTAGAAAGGAACCACCCCTTCCCGGATCGGTGCCCCTGACTGCATAAGTTTTCTCAATTTTCGGGTCGAATGTGACTGCACTCGGAACTGGGTTGCTTCATACTTTATCACCAGTAGCAGAGATTAGAGTCGGTGCTATTCGGACGTATATATTCCCAGTTCATCAGCAACTAAGTTCATGTGGTCTATCATGACCTTGTTGCAGATGAATTTGGCAAAATACCCCATGGAGTAAACGCGGGAAAATCAACACCCCAGAGCTCTTGTGTATCTCCAGCTACTTCATATAGTGTGCGTACAAAATCTCTTACAAGTGAGAGAATTCAAGCCTGGTTCACTATGGGTTGTGGGAAACTCACCTCTGGTTCTTGCTGTGCAAGAAGTATTACTTCGGGATTAATTATCTGTAGGTAGACTATGGGAAGGTGTATTCTCTGTCAAGGCAACAGAAAGTTTGCTGGCCTGCTTAGCCTAGCACTCTGCATGTTGCGTAAACAGCATCAATCTACAACCTCGGACGACAAGCCGAAGGGGGAATATAGAGAACGATTCGCGTTCCTCTCCCAACAGAAGGGGTGGCCACCTAGGTGGCCGTGGGGAGATGGTCGTGAAGTCTTGACAAGTCCGTGATGCTCCGGATTATTTCTGGGCACCGGCTTCCGAACCCCCCTTGGCCCTTTACTTTTTCTCTTTTATTTTTCTGCTTTTTCGATTTGAGATGCTCAGTGCTCGTCGCTAAGAACTTACAAGGGGAATGGATCCAGCCTCTTTATCTCAGAAATAATACTGTATTTCTGCGTAAGGTACAGAGTCCAGCTCCCATATCTTAAACGCTTGTGAGATGATCGTGATGGCTTCAAGCAGCAGGCCCACCATGGTCACGTGATTCTGACGAACTGCGCCGGGCAAGACAACCAGTCTCAACCTTTGGATAAGAGCTATATTCCATCACAGATGTCTCTTCACGGGTGGCCAACCCAGGTATTTTCAAAATTTCGACAGCGATGGGAACCTGGGCACCTTCCCTTTTGGTTCTGATCAAGTTGAGTCGTCGCCCATTAACACCGCCAGTGCTTGCCTCGCTTTAAATCGGCCTACGTTGAATTGAAAAATGGTCTACCAGCAACGCGCCCTCGAGAACCAATCCGTAACTCTTTCCACGTTAGTTACGAGACCCGGCATTCGGCACGGCGCCACTACAGGAAAAAAAGAAACCCCCCCAAACAAAACCCGCCGCTCAGTTCCTTCAATCATTTCCAGAAATCATGGTTGCCGACGGGCACCCCCAGGCCCCCGCCATGCTCCATTAGGCAAAGGCTAAAATTGGGTGCCGTCGCTGTTTCATGTGTCGAGCTGGAGGTAACGGTAACCCGAGCTAGCGGCTCTCAAGTAGATCATCCCGTCCGTGGGTTCTCACCACTCCTCCAAACAAGCGCCCAATCATTGACCCAACCGCCGACATCCTGCCTGGGTTATTGCTGGCCTTACAACACGTCTGGACAGCAGAACTCCAGAAGGGCTAGAGGTCTTCTGAGTATGATCCTGTCCTCTTTTGATCCACCATGGGCTGTCCCGGTATAACGCTGGCCTGTCAATCACAATTCAAAATACCCTTTCTTCATGCAAGTTTGTTCATTGTAAGCTTGCATTGAGAACCACACAAACCGCGCACACCCCGCTCTCCCGCATCCCCCTCCCCCCTTTTCGGCGGCTCTGGTCCCGTTGGAACTTCCCCTTTTGACCAGTCAACTATCCCTCCTCCTCCTCAGCTCTTCAGCCCAGTGACAGCGTTTACATTCAGACTGCAAGTGTATACATCCGTGTGTGTGGTGCCTGACTAAAGGCCGCCGCCGCGCTTCCCAAAACATGGGGGATTCACCTAGTCAAAGCCCCCTGCCCACACTCAAGTTCCCAACCGCCCGCCCCAAGGGTCAGGGGGGACCGGCGGGATTCATGTGGGCAAGGAGACTTTTTGTACGAGCAGCTGTCAAAAAGTCTAAAAGAGAACGAACATGGGATGAAGGTGGGCTGAGTCGAACCAGAAGTTCAACGAGAGCCCCTCCCATTGGCCGGAGCCGCCGTCTATTCCTTGAACTTCACCCCTCAACGCTCTTAGTGCCACCTCACGAACCGCGCTCCGGGACCCGAATAGTGAACTGCCCTCCCCCCCCCTGGTTGCGACGTTCCTTTTACTCATTGAGAGGAGCGCCTCGGTTGCCCTGTATGTAGATCGGATACTTTTTCTTCCCTGTTTATTACCTATGCTATGCGCTGCTCCTCTCGCTTTTCAACTCTCTCTCGTTTCTCGTGAACTGTTTCGCTCCTGCTTGTTTTTCAGCATCCTTACAGAATTGTCATTCATTTGGGGTTCTGTTTCTGTCTCTCACCCTACGTCCTTCTTTGACTCAGCATTTCCTGTGCTTGTATACTCGAAACAGTCCTTTGTGAAAGGCGGCGGAAGAGAAGCCCGCTTAGAAACAACATTCTGTCTTCAGAACGTTGACATCCCACCGCGCGCAAAGTCTGTAGATCAGCTCCTGGTATCATTATGGTCTTCGTCAAGCCCGCTCTCATCGCCTCCGTGGCTATCACGGCGGTGTCCGCCTTCACATCGCCCAAGACACTCGATGTGAACAATGCAGGTTGGTCTTTAAAAACGTCCCTTCAGTGTACAGGCCATTAGTTTCGCTAACAGAGCCCCAAGACTCCGTCAAGGCTATTGCCGGTAGTCTGGCATTCGGTGCCATGTCCTACTACAACGGAAACGTCTCCAGCGATCCCAAGGTATGACAACCTAGACAGACATTCAGATCGCCACGAACGAGAGGGACAGTCTCGACATCGAGTACAAGAACTGACAAACACAACCTCTATAGATGGTTGGTGACCTCCCGGAACCATACTACTGGTGGCAAGCCGGCGCCCTCTGGGGCATAATGATGGACTACTTCCACTACACAGGCGACGCCACCTACAACGCAGTCCTATCCCAAGCCCTGACCGCAAAAGTCAACACGGGGCCCAACTACGACTTCATGCCCCCCGAGCACGAACTCGAAGAAGGAAACGATGACCTTGGCTTCTGGGGCTTCGCAGTCATGTCCGCCGCCGAGCGCAACTTCCCCGACCCCGACGCCTCGACGGGCGCACCGGCATGGCTCCAAATGGGCCGTAACATCTTCAATTCCCTCGCCGGGCGCTGGAACATGACGCACTGCGGCGGCGGGCTCCTCTGGCAAATCTACGAGAGCAACCCCAACGGGCTCAACTACAAAAACAGCGTCAGCAACGGCGGCTTCTTCCAGCTCGGCGCCCGCCTCGCCGCCGCGACAAACGACTCCCGCTACGCCGACTGGGCCTCGTACGTCTGGGACTGGTCCGCCGCCGTCGGCTTCCTCGATGCAGACCTGAAAGTCTACGACGGCGCCGACTCGCGCGACAACTGCACAAAGACGAACTACGTCTCCTTCACCTACTCCACGGGCATCTACCTCTACGGCGCGGCCGTCATGGCCAACCACACGGGCGACGTCCTCTGGGCGGACCGCGCGACAAAGATGCTCGCCACGGCGCGCAAGAGCTTCTTCTCCCCCGCCGAGAACAGCACAAACATCATGTACGAGCCCGCGTGCGAGACGGTCGGCACGTGCAACACGGACATGAAGACGTTCAAGGGCTACCTCTCGCGCTTTATGTGGCAGTCCGCCGTCGTCATGCCCGCGCTGCTGCCCGAGGTCAAGGAGATCTTGATCCCGAGCGCGCTCGCGGCGGCAAAAGTGTGCGAGGCCTCGGCGGGCAACGTGACGTGCGGGCAAAAGTGGTACGTCGACGGCGACGACGGCAGCTACGGCTTGGGCCAAACCATGAGCGCGCTCGAAATTATCCAGGGTCTCGTCGTTAGCCAGTAGGTGCTTTTGGGGGGGACAACCTCCGTTGCGAAAACCCCTCTTTGCGCCCTTCTGAGTCCTGCGCCCGGTCAACAAAGCAAGAGAGAAAACTACCGCTGACGGGCATCTCGTCAGCCTCACAAATTCAACCGACAACTCGACGACTAACTCGACGACTAACTCGACAACTGACCCGCCTCCCGCCACCGTCCCGAGCCAGAGTGGCGCAGAAAGTATCCTTCTCAAATGTACATACACAAGCGCTTTAGGCGCCGTGTTGCTGTTTTCGCATTTCCGTCTTGTGTAAAATGGAATCTAGGGAAACTGAGGCGTAATCGGCGTTTGATAAAGGCATCATTTGCTGAACATGTAAAAAGAAAACACACATACCCCTGAAAGCTTCTAATGTTCAAGAATTTAAATCTACTACATTGTACTTGTGGCCATGCTGCTTGGTGAAGAATCGATCGTCCAAGACGCAAGTATAAGTCCGTGTTCCATGCGCATGTTGTCATGCGTGGAGCGTAACGCAGGACTGCCGACCAGTTTGGCGGGTATCTTGTCAAACGTATGACTGCTCGAGGGATCCGTTCATTCTAATTCGATGAGATGAGAGACAGATTTGCTTCGACGGGTATGTTCTCGGTGGACAAACGTCACGAATTCTCGATGAAAGTGGTTGCACAGAGAATCATAGGACTAGGAGTGATCCCCTCCTATCCTTTCCATGTTTATATTTGCCGTTGAGCCCTTGATCGTAAACAATTCAACGCCGATACGGGGTATAACTCCTAAAGGGAGCGCATTGCGAGAAATGACAAAGCTCTGGTTAGAAAAGACAATGGGCTCAAACGATCCTCCACTTGCTTCCCCCTTTACGCTGACATGAGGGCAAAACTCCTATATGTATCACCCTCTCCAAATCGTTGTCCCAAGATCCAGGTTCCTAGTTTTGGTCTGCTTCGTATGCTGCCTTTCCATGATGATAATGCCGCTTTCTATTTCGTTTTCTTTCGGATTCCGGGTAGCAGATCGTTCGTGATCGCCATAGTGGGTATAGTGTGCCCTAGGTAGGTAGTCTGAGGCCGTAGAAACGTTGCCGGTTATGCCACCAACGCGACAACTGCCATGCTGCATAATGACGCAATGAGAGCCCAGCCTCGACCAAGACGAGGGGCAGCGCTCGGGTTGGTTTCGGCAGGTAATGAAGGCGACAGGCTATCCGTATATAAGAAGTCGTCAAAGTTCGAGTTGTCGGCAGTCGTGGTCGTCGCTGGGGTTGCCGTGGCCGCGGGCTCCTTGGCCATGGTGAGAATACCCCATTCCACCTCAGAGCCGGTCATGGTCGACGTCCATGACACCTCGGTCGGTCCCGTCAATTTGCCGTTAATGTATCCGCTCTTGAGACTCGAGTATCCTGAACATGTCGCAGCTGTCGTCCCGCTTAATGTGCAGCCCAGATCGGCGATGCTGTCCGCCCACGTCATGATTAGCTGTCCTACTCCTTCCCAAGCGACGTACGTGTTGCGGGAGGCAAGAACCTACAGAGTTGATGTCTTGGTGCCGTGGAACTGAAGCGTGCTCTCGCCCTCGGAGAAGACAAAGGGGAACTCGATGGCGAGGTCGCAATTAGGGCTTGTTTGTGGTGGGCAGAAGACGGTATACGTCGTTTCTTTGGCATTCTACAATGGCGCAATAGTTAGATTACAGCAATTGCAGTCGAGGGGGGCTCCGGCAGCATAGGGAGTCTCGTACACTTGAAATTACACTCCCCCGCAGCTGCGACCAGCTATTTGCATCATAGTGCGGCAGGTAGATCGGAACAGTGGTCGTATCATCGGCGGCGACGGTATTCGCGAAAAGGAACCCCAGTGACAGTAGAGCGGCGAAAGGCTGCGAGCATCTCATCGTGGCGACGCAGAATGTGGATTGGTCGAGTCTCGAGCCGGTCGAGGTATGCAGCAGTGCTTGACGTCAACGAGCTAGTCACCGGAGGCGGTTCATGGGTCGGTCAGCTACCGAGACGGGCAAGGCGAGGTTATGCAATGCAGCGGACCAGGCTGACGGGACGGGTGTTGAAGCTGGGGAGACAGAAGGGGACTCCGTGACACGCCGTTGATTTCTCTATCAGAGTAGAAGAAAGGTCGGAGGAAAGGCCGTTGGATGTTCTTTGGGTCGGAGAATGGGTTTGTTCGTATGCGGCGGTGGTGAGTGACCCTGGTTATAGCATGGGACGGTCGTAGCGGGTGTTTCGCGGGTGCAGCGATGGCATGAGGTACGACGAATACAGCAAAGCCGGAGCTGTCAGCAAGCAGGGAAAGGTTGCGTCTGGGTCGGAGGGGTCCGTTTCCTTAAAAGAGCAAGCTGGGAACGGGGCCGAGAGAATGAGGAGGGGGTTCCGTGAATGAGATTTACTGTCGTGACAGCAGTATTGCGACGAAAGGGGAGCGGTTCAACTTTCAGGTGAGCAGAAAGACGTGTCGGGGAGAGATTGAGGACTTTGCAGCCTTTGCCAATGCGCCGTCCTTGCCGGCCAAGGCTGGGCGGGAGAGTAGATGAGCGATTGGCATTCTTTTGGCAAAATGGGACGGAAGCCAAGACTTTTGGACAAGATGGTACGGCGCCCTTTGGAGACTCGGCGAATGTGTGAGAGGGTCAAAGGTCCACGGCCCACGGGAAACGAAGGTGGCTTGCCCTTGTCTCGGCATACCTCAAGCTCATGGTGAGGCAGGTATCCAATGCTTCCTCGCAACAACGGCGATTCCCGTCACTGGGGTTCAGACTTCAACCGTCAACGGCCTTCCCAAAAGGCAACCCAGCAGCAGACCTGCTGCATTGCTGCATTGCAGGCAGTGGGTGTAATGCGAGTTGAGCACCTCCATCTTGGGGGCAATTCAATGCGTGCGATACTAGCTGGGTAACCGTAGCGTGCGTAGGTATCTTCAGTGTGTGTGCGTGTACCACTCACTGTATCCGTAGCATCCACCGCGGTTCGCCTGATGGTCAAGGGCCGATGGCTGCTGGATCATCCAATGCTAGTGGTGGACATTGGCAGATGGGGGAAGGAAACAAAACGGGCGACGATGAGAGGATGGAAGGGAAGAAAGCCAAGAAATGCCAAGACCGCGAATTTCGAAAAATAATAATAAGAGCTGGGTGGGCACGGGCACCCGGACTGGAGACGGTCCTCTTGTCACTAGCCATCTGACTGGCCGGACGTTGCCAGCCAGGCAGGAACCGGCAGGGGTTGGCTGTCCCCCCGTGGCCCCCGTGCCCCCATCATGCCCGTTCGTCCCCGCTCCGCTGCGCTACTTGGGAAGTCGCAGCTCACAACAGTGAGTCCTACGGTCTTGCCTTTCCTGAGGAGGCTTAGGTAACTTGCATCCCATGAGGAAACCTCGACCAAAACACCAGCACCTTCCCATCCCGTCTTTAATGCTGTGCATCACTTCGGGACTTCATACCCACAACCCGGCCTGGCCAGAAATTCCCTCTCCACTCTTAGAAACCTCACAGTCTCACTCTCACCTCCCCGCTATCAAACAGTTCTCTCGCCGGATCCTTTCTGAATACCTTTCCATCGCAGATGATCAGGTTTGACCATGCTCTCGTCAACGTGGAACATACGTTATCTGGACCCCAAGTGGAAGTGAAGTCCAAGTGGGAGCCGATTCCACCTCGATTTGCTTTTTGATAGGCTCCGACTGCGATTCTCGGGGCCCTCTTTCCGCTCGCTGCAATTCCCTCATCCATGTTAGGCAGGACCGAACGTGTGGTCATTATCCACCGCTGCAGATGCATCTGGCAATCTGCTTCCTGCCCACGGCCGATAGACGATTATCTCGGCTCCCGCCGGTACCACGCCTTCGTCTTTGTGAGCATCTCAACGTTGAAGTCAGTCGCACTGCTAAACCAAGTCTCGATCTGTACTGTGCAGGTCTCTGTGCACCGGCCACAAGATTATTCTGAGCGACCGTTCTAGCGATTTCGTTCCATCTTTCATCCCATCACTTACGCCGACCTCAACCAGCAAGGGCTTTCGATGTTGCTATTTCATCCGAACCGTCCCTCTTCCGCCCGGGACATCCTGCAACCGAAGCGTCCTAGTAACCTCACCGCAACAGTTCGGCGATTCTAGGCCCGTGGAGTCGCAGACCGGAAGATGTCAAAAATAAACTCGGCTCAAACTTGCACATCTATCACGTCCATGTCATAGCGACCAATCGCTGAGATCTGTCTACAGTATGCCGATGCTAGACGAGTTTTAATTTACATATCAGTTAGCAGCAATTGGTGTCCTATTCAATGCAGAATACATGATGCACTTCACCAAAACGAGTTTCTCTAGAGGCAGCTGTGGACAAATCTAACATATTGCCGGCTACTTCATACTTCGTACAAACAACTGCGTGGTGCACAGAAGTCACGATCCGATCTGTCAGAAAATTATAATGTGCGAAGCTATTCAAATGTGCCAGTGAGCCTTAATCCTTGGGTTCGCCAAAAGTCGTTTTATGGCATCACTTCCATAACACAAAACGATTGATTTTCTTCATCAAAAAGACGGCCAACGTTGTTGCGCGGCATCCAATCGGAATATTGCTTGCCAAAGGCAGCCTGGACTAACGTTTTGGAACTTTGGTTTACGTCTTTTTTTCTCGCTACCAACACACGATGACACGAGCGCTTGACCAGAAATGGCCATGGACTCTCGAGCCCAGTTCCTCCAGTAAGCCTGCGGCACAGCTCTGCCGGGAAATTGACCACAATGGCCAGCCAAGAAAAACATTGCCTCGCCGTGACACTCAGGAAAGCATCTTTCTTTGCCCTGTTTGTCACGTACTGATCTCGCGATGAATCGCTGCACGACAGCCTTATTAGCCCTCGTCGGCATCGCCGCGGCGCAAACCACGTCCGTGATCAGCGTCCTGAACCCCTATTTCGGTGACAACCCCTACGACGCGTCCATCAAGGACGCCAATCCCACCGCGACGACGTACATCGTGAACTGCCAGGCCAACAGCACGAATTATCAATGTCGGGCCGACCCCTCCGCCTTGATGACCCTCGTGGGAGGGCCGTCGACCATGGAACTTCACATTGACCATGCTGCCAGCGGAGTGTAAGTCGTCCCACACTCTAATCTGCTCGTCATTCCGTCACCCAGGCCCATCTGATAGTGGGCGGTTGAACGTGGTGGCTGAATCTTCTCTATACAGATCAATCGAGTACGTTGGTACCATTTCAGGCGATGGCTTGGACTATCAGCAGATTGTGACAAAGAGCGGAAACACCGCCATGATGGCCGACATGAGACTTTCGCCTCTGACGGCGACAAGCCTCTACGTTCCACTCACCGTCACCGCTGGCCTGGAGAAGTTGCAGCAAGCTCAGACCGGCGCTACTGCGACTGCGATTGCAACGGCCACGGCGTCCTCCACGGGATCGGCGCAGAGCGGGTCTGGGTCCGAGTCCGGGTCCGCTGCAACAGCGACGAGTGCGCAGGCCTCTTCGACGTCAACTGCCAACGCCGCCGCACCCCGTGCCGGCCGGGACGGTCTTCTCGCTGGTGCACTGGCTGCAGTTGGGCTCATGATGTTCTGATCATGCTGGTGGTAGAACCAGGTCTTTGAGGATGTTGTTTCAGTTGAGGAATCAAGCAGTGGTGTATGATTCGGGAACAGCAACAGGCGGCCTCGCGAATGATTCGCGGCCTTTCTTGACGCATAATGACTGTTCCGACTGCAGTATCACGCTTGTTTCTCATTCATCACCGAGGATTACCTTTTGTTGTTTGTTGTGGCGATGACTTCCCTTCACCTCGTTGACTTTGTGTGAGTCAAAGACGAGGGGTTTTACTTCTGCTGTCATGCCGACGACAACCAAAGCATTGTTTGTTGAAGCAGTCTCAGTACAGCTGGACAGTGAATCGCAATAGTTCTTGTACATGAGGAGCAACATACTATATAGGTACCATCCTATTGAACTATAATCCATTTCCCACTTCTTACTTCCCTCGCGTCCACAACTTAGCCAGACGAAAGATTGCAAACTGCCCGCGGTCTCGCCTGTCCCACAGTCTCGACCCAGGAATCGAATCATACTTACAAGCCCAAGGGACAACAATCCCTTTCTTTTCCGTGGCCCCCTCTCCCTCTCACCTCATCTCACGTCACAGAAACTCTCAGAAGCAATTTACGCAATGGAACCTGGCGTGCAGGCCGGTATCGCGTTAGCTTGCGTGGGCGGCGTATTCATCCTATGTTGTGCGGCGTTTATAATATTTCGCCACATCATGTCGCCGCGCGCACAAAAGCAGTATTTCAGGCGGCACGGGGTCGCTGCAGAAGAACCGATGCCTGGCGTGTAGGTGAAAAAAGAGATAAGATGAGGAAGTGGATGTGATGATAGGGGTTCTGAGGTAATTTCTTTCTGTTAAAGAAAGGTGTGGTATCAGGTGAGAAAGCCAGTACATGCTAGGATTGAGAGTGGTCAGATGAGCACAGATACGAATACATAGAATAATAGAATCGGGTCACTTCATCCAAGAAAACTTGAACTTAAGTCTCAATGATGATGCTTTGCATACTTGTAAACCACGAAACGACACTGGACTCTGTCAACTCCAAACCCTGCTATGCTGAAATAATGCTCATGGACACACCAACACCCGACGCCCGTCTTTCATGATGCTGCCTTGCCAACCCCACCTCTGACATGCTGAAAACCAGTTCAAGAAGTACAAATACACACTAGTGCACGATTCTGCCTACATTGGAAGAAAACTAGAGGAGAATAACCTCATTACCGATGAGCTCGCTCCTCACGTCCGTCCTGCCAGCTGGTGCAGTTGACGCAGCGCTGCGCCTAAACGCTCGAGAGATTAGCCAAAACAGGTTCTCTTCTCATCTCGGGGGTGCCTGGGGCCTGAGGAAGGGGTAATAGAAAGAAAGAACCTCACCTTATTGCTGATCCGCTTGCGGCAGTACTTGCACTTAACGGTATGCTTAATAATCGGCTCTCGGGAGAAGAACTGGAAGACGTGGGCCAGTCCGTAGAGCGAGATGCCGACGCAGAGGAAGGAGACGAGTTGGTTGAGGAACGAGCTGTGTGGGGGCTTTGTTAGAGACGGTCGAGCATGTTTCCATGGGTGTGTGATTCCATCGGGGTCACAAAGATGAATGTTTCCAAACAAGACGAGCACGATACCACTTGAAGTCGTTCCGTGGTGATACTCAAGCAGAAAAGAGGTAAGTGAACTACGGAGAAAACTGACCCGTAAGCTAAGACGACGGCACCATCATCCTTGGCGCGCTCGAGGGTCGTATACTTGTTGTCGTGGGTGTAGTTCGGGCCGCCCTTTAAGACGGCGAACTTTTCTTCCATGTTGCGGTTGAGTGGGAAGATGACGGAGATGGGCGGCATGATGATGTTCTGCACAAAGTTGTTGACGAGGGTTGTGAAGGCGGCCGCGATGCTATCGAAACAGTGTGTCAGTAGAACATAACCTCCTCAATGCTGGTCAAAGTTCAACATGTAATTTGGTGGTCACATTATCCACAGTCATATTGCTGCAAAAGGTGCGATGCCAATATGAAAGTGACAAGCCCTCAAGTAGTCTCCCCATGCTTGGGGGATGGCATGCATGATGAGCATAATTAGGGGAAGGAAGGCTTACATCAAACCAAAGGCAATCTCGAGAATGTTGCCCTGCAGGGCAAAGTCGATGAAGCCATCCCAGAAACGCCGCACCTTTTGCTGGCCCCGTCCGAGGAGGGATTCCTCTTCGCCGTTGTCGTTGCGGCCTTGCATGTTCGCTGCGGAGGAGATGCGGTCTGAGAACGGGAGGGAGGGCATCTTGGCAGTTCTCTACTGACAGGGGAAGCACTTTGGGGGGAAGCTCGGATAGAAAGTGAGGAGAGAGCAGACAGGATAGAATGCTACAGGAACATGTAACAGCCGTTAAAGCGTTCAAGGCACCGGTGCAGCGGAGGTGAGAGCGGGAGACTTGATAAGTCCTTGAGGTGAGGTGTAGTTGACGTGTGGCGCGCCTAAGGAGACGGTCAAGGTTGGGTTCGTTTGACCAAGGTTGAGACATGGTGGTTGTTGCCTGTTTGGGGAGGAATGACGTACCCCACTTTCCGGGGTGCGTGACACCGGAGCCGGGGTGGGTCTCCTCCGAAGGCAGATTCCGATGTTGGAGACTGTGAACGAAGTTGGACAGCTCACCATATTCACGGGCTTTCATATCGAAGCTGGAATCGACTCATGTTTAGTTGATCAGAAAAAGTAACAATCACAGTTGTGGAGTCTCGCTAATGATGGGTAGGGAGTATCAAAAGTGGTCTGGGTTTACTTGATTGAGAGCATCTTTATTGATGTCTAGCAAGGCTATGAAATGATGAACTCTGGATTTATATATCGCAACAATGGTATCTCTAACAAGGCTTAAAAAAGGACCGTGATGTCGGGAGTAGCCATGATATGCCAGCTATCGGGGCAAACACGACAAAGGTATCGTTTCAAATGCAACGCTTTCGTACTGCGGTTTCTCAGTCTGAGAGAAGTGAAGGCGCACCTATGGTTTGACGACTCTAAGTAGTCAACACAGCGGGTTCTGCTTCGATTCTAGAAGCTGCCCTTCTTATGGCGTTTCTCGGTATAACCGCGCGACGTTCTGCGCGACCGCCTCTCGGCGCAGAACTGCGTGACCCAGTAAACGGACGCCGCAAACATGACAGCAAAGGCCACCCAGGAGATGATCATAAACTTCTGCCCGACCTTGGCCGAGATACCGACGTCTTCGCCAATGTCGGTGATCTGCTTCGCGCCGTCTTTCGCGCCGATCGTCGTGACGAGACTGCCGGCGAAGAGCACGAGAGCCGCCAGAAAGGCGAAAGCAAAGTTGGTGAGCGTCATGCGCTTCTTGAAGCCGAGGAAGAAGGCAGCCAGCGAGCCGAGGATGGCGAGGCCCGAGAAGCCGATGCCCATGACGTAGAGGACAAAGATGGCGAGGAGGGCCTTGTTCACCTTGTCCATGGCATCCTCGATGGTGTCGGGCCAGTTGAGGTCGGACAGGCTGAGGCTCAGAGGGCCGATCTCGAGTTCCTGGTCCAGCATCTTGGTGAGGTTGACGTTTGCTAGAGTATCCATGTTAGCGTCTATGACAGATGGTTGGGCAAGGTACTAGTGGGGGTTTACTTACGACCAGGAGACGGCTGGGTGCAGTTCGTGACGTTCAGCCAGACGTTGGGCGCCGTGACGTTGGGAGAAAATTGGCCGTGGCACACGTCCATCAGGTGCAGGGAGTACCACTCGGAGATTCCCAACTCGTCGGCGAGGCGGTCGGCAACATCGTTGCCAATGTCGTTGAGGATGTCGGACACCTTGTCGCCTACACCATCAATAAACTTGTCGAGGAAGCTGCCGGTTGTCGCAGCGGGATCGGCCTCCGAGGTTGCGGAGGGAATGAGGTTGTGGCCAAGAGTCGAGGTGTTGAGGCGGACGACGTCGTAATCCTCCATAAAACCCTCCTTGTGCCCGGCGAAGAGGGCGAGGAAGGAGAGGACGAATGCCACGATGGATAGTACCAACGGTACTATCACGGTGAAATGCATGTTGTCGGTAATGTCTGATCTCGCTCGAGTTGGACAAATGAAATTGGTTGGATGGAGATGGGGTTGTAGATAGATTGTTTGGGCACACGGCGGAACTTCGTGGCCGCGGACTTGAGATTTGTCGAGAGATTTATGGTAGGTACTGCCTGTCACTTGGAAACGTAATGTTCAAAATCAAAAGACCCCGCGACTGAAAGGCTTTCAGGGCAGCAAAGGGGTCAAGGCCTTATTGAGGAAGACCAAGTAGCCTAGGATCAATGGGTGAATCACATCGAACCAGCCATCCAAGACCCTGGACCGGCAATGATGCAACCGAGAGGACCCTGACTGGACGTGGAAGAATGCTGTGATGGAGACGATGGACAGGAACAAGGCCAACGGCCCCATCGGCGTCACTCGCCTGGACTGGGGGCAAAGCCATGATTAGAATAGTCGCAGAGGCTACGGGATGGAAGGGAGGGCGGTAGTTGGAACCTGGGCGGCCTTAGAGCAACGTGGGTACCACAATCAAGTGCAAGAATCCACAGGCAGGGAGACATCATCTTGCTTGATGAGGCGTTGAACAACACAGCAAGTCTAGGTCGAGCCTGACGTGGCCAAGATTTTTAGTCATGGAAGAAGGGTGTGTGGTTGGTGACTTGTTGTTCGGATTGTGGATGTTCAGGTACTGTGTAACAGTAGGACGATATCCAAGTTTACGTCATCGGTCTTTCTACGGCTACTGAGCCACAGCATTTGTTTCCCAATTGGGGGCTACGCTTGGACCCACACTATTGGATGTGTACGTACCTTTTCATGAGGGTGACAGGGCCCCGTCGCCAGCCGGCCATCGGATGACACCCGGGAAACCTGTTTGGACGAGAACAACAAAAACAGGAGACGAACAGGGATGCTACATCAAGTTTTGGAGCCTCCATAGCCAGTCGAGACTCTTCAGGGCCTTGCTTCTGAGGTCGTTTACCGCCTGTGGGGGGCTCAAGGTGGGTTCTATTCTTTGTCTCCTGGTGCAGCTGCCGGCCGGTGCAGTCACCGTACCTGTGGGCTGTATGTAGCCTGTGGCCCCAGAGGACCATAAGTCCCCCATCTTGGCCAGCGCTAAACTCTGATTTGACCCTGGACAAAATGGAGACTGGAGGCATTCGTTCCAGGCTAGATCGTCACTCCACCGAGAGCAAAGAGCAACTGACTCTGATCATTCTTGGCACCGTTGTCCAACGTAGAAGACCATAGTCCGAGATAGCTGCAGTATGTGGTGTTGCGAATAGCTTCGTTTTATCAGTCCGATTCTTGAGTGCTGTTACTTCTTTCATCTAATCCCTTGAATCCTAAATGATACGAATACCACTAGTCCCCTTAGCTAATAATTCTGCTTATCTACCTTCCTCAAACAGACTTATCTCAGGGGAACACTCTCCGGCTGACTGTGCCGCAACCTGTAGCTTAATATCCCGTCCCTTAAAAGGAGCCATTCCCCTCTTGCCCTTTCATTTCTGTTCACTTGCTTCTCCAAAACAATCCTGTGACCATTTACACCATCATTGCATACCACACCCATCATGGCAAACTCAACCTCTGACGGCTGTTCCCTCACCGCCGATGATGCCTTCGGGCCAATCATCCAGCACTGTCGCGACGGCTTCGACTTTACTCTCACATTTGAACAATGCCTCTTCACCATCCTTCCCGCCTCGCTCCTCATCCTCATCGCGCCCTTACGCTTCCGCTACCTCGGCAAACTCCCCTACGCCGTCAACGGCACCACGCTCCGTCTAACAAAACAGGCCGCCATCGCACTCCTCGCCGTCCTGCAACTGGTTCTCATAGGTTTGTGGTCAACGCACCGCCGCGGCGACGTCGTCGTCGGGGGCGGGGAAGGGGCCAGCAGCAGCAGCCGCTTGCGCGCCGTCTCCATCGCCGCCTCATGCGCGTCCTTTGCGGCCAGCGTCATGTTTGCCGGACTTTCGTACATAGAACACGCGAAGAGCCTTAAGCCTTCGTCCATCCTGAATACATATATCCTCGTGTCCCTGGTGCTGGACGGAGCCATCCTCCGCACCATGTGGCTGTCGCACCTAAGCGTCGCCATCAGCGCCGTCTTCGCCGCGTCTTTCGCGTGCAAGGCGGCCATCGTGATCCTCGAAGCCCAGGAGAAGACGCGTTACCTCGTGTCGTCGTCGTCGTCGTACGGCCCCGAGGAGACCAGCGGCATCTACAGCCGCGGCCTCTTTTGGTGGCTTACGCCGCTGCTGCTGACGGGATTCCGTCGTCTCCTGAAGCCGCTGGACCTGTTCATCCTGGACGGGTCCATGTCGGCTGCTGCGCTGAATGAGAGGTTCTGGCTTCACTGGAACAAGTCCCCGTCGAGCCTCTCGACGGGCGACGAACAGCCTGGTGAAGCATCACGATCGTCGTCGAGGTACCGTCTCATCAGGACGTGCATCGTCACGCTGAAATGGCAGTTGCTGGCAGTTGTCCTCCCCAGGCTCTTCCTGCTCGGCTTCACCATTTGCCAGCCCCTGATCTTGAATCGGTTCCTCGACTTTTTGCAGAACCCATCCGAGACGGCCAACCATGGCTACGGCCTCGTTGGTGCCTACGGGCTCGTGTACCTGGGCATTTCCATCTCGTCGAGCTTCTACTGGCACGCCGCTTTCCGGTGCCTGACTATGCTCCGGGGCGTCTTGGTCGCTGCCATCTACACCAAGACGACGGAGCTGCGTGTCGCCCCGACAGACGACTCTGCGGCTGTGACTCTCATGTCTACCGATGTAAGTCGTGGCTGTCTTTTTTCGCCTTCCGTCTTTGACATCAATACTAAGTCTCGTCCCTCAGGTTGAAGCAATTATCCGTGCTTGGCGCGAAATTCACGAGTTCTGGGCCAACACGATTCAAATCGCACTCGCCACATGGATTCTCAGCACTCACCTCGGCTACGCGGCCTCTGGTCCGATAATCGTGTCGGTCTTCGCTCTAGGTGCCACTGTATTTCTCGCCCCTTCTGCTCAAAAGTACCAGATCATCTGGGTTGAAAAGGTCCAGAAGCGCATCGGTCTGTAGTATCCTCTCCCCTGACAAACATGCTAAGCTGACCCCCTACAAAGGCATCACCTCGGCCATGATAGGCCACATTAAGAGCATCAAAATGTCGGGCCTGACCCAGAAACTCTCCCAGACTCTGGCCGACCTCCGGCTCGCCGAGATGCGAGCGGCGACTCCCTTCCGCGTGATCGGCGCAGTCACGTCCGCCGTCGCCCAGGTACCCCTGATGGTCGCCCCCGTCGTGGCCTTTGCCATGTACACAACGATTTCATCTAAGGAAGGGCAAGTCCTCGACGCCACGAAGCTCTTCGCCGCGTTGTCGTTGATCATCCTGCTGGCCCAGCCGCTGTTTTGGATGTTTGAGGTCGTTCTCGACATGAGTGCGGCTCTGGGGTGCTTCAACCGGATCGAAAAGTACTTGTCTGAACCGCCGCGGGCAGAATATCGAGATTTTCCGTCGAGCTCACCCGCTAGCTCGTCTGAAAGAATGGGCTTTTACTCTCAGGATGTGCAACTTCAGAATCTGGAGAGCAGCAACGGGCAGCGTCCAACAGACAGAAAGTTAGGTGACCCTATCGCTATTCGCGTGAAAGAAGCAACGTTGGCGTGGAAGCCCGAAACAATTCCAGCTGTTGATTTCGTTGACTTGAGCATATCGAAGGGACAACTCGTCATGCTAGTGGGGCCTGTTGCATCCGGGAAGAGTACACTTCTGAAAGGCCTCCTTGGTGAGCTGCCACACGTCACCGGAACGGTTGCCCTATCCAGCGATCGCATCTCTTGGTGTGAGCAGAACCCCTGGCTCATCGTGAGTGGACTCCCGGCCTAGGTTATACGAGCATTACTGACCGGGTGTCCAGAACGATACCATCCGAAGAAACATCATCTGCTTCTCTGACTTTGACCATGAACTCTATCAACAAGTCCTCAGTGCGTGCGATCTTGAGAAGGACCTCGCTCAGCTCCCAGATGGCGATAAAACATTGATCGGAAGCAAGGGAATTGCTCTAAGTGGCGGGCAAAAGCAACGCGTCGTAAGTAGTCTCTAAAGTGGATTCCCTTCCTTTAGCTAACAACATATAGGCACTTGCCAGGGCCATCTATTCACGCCCTCAAATTGCTCTCTTTGACGACATTTTCAGCGGGCTTGATAACCATACGGCTAGGGTAGTGTTCCAGCGCGTCTTTGGTACCAAGTATGGAATTCTCCGAATCTGGGGAACCACTATTGTGCTTGCGACTCAGTCAGGTATCAACTTCTAAACACTCACTACCCTTAAGGAAACACATCGCTGACAAGCAGGTACAGTGAGCTTTCTTTCTCAGTCAGATATGATCATCGTACTCGAAGGCGGCAAAGTAGCAGAGAAAGGAAGCTTTGAGGATTGTCGAAAGGCTAGGGGCTATGTCTCAAGTCTCATGTCCACCAACACCGAAGACCAAGACGAGAGCACCTCCGAGTCAGAAAAGCTTGCAGATAGGACCGCAAGTGACGCCCCGGTGGAGAAGAGCACCAAGGTATTGAAAGACCAGGAAGACAAGAGACGACAGCTTGGCGACTGGAGCGTCTACGGCTACTACTTTGGTAGCGTCGGCGCTTTTCTCGTGGCCATCTTGATGGTCTTGGAGGTGACGTGGGCGTTCTTTTCCACTTTTCCGAGTAAGTCTCACCCAACACTCTGATCGGGGACTCTTGAAAGAAGCATAGTTAACCCATGAGACCAGCCGTATGGTTGAAGTTCTGGACGGACTCACAAGCGGATAGTCCAGGGAGCCATGATGCCTACTACCTCGGGGTGTATGCCGCCTTCCAGGTCAGCGGCGTCTTGTGCTTTGCCGTACTCATCTGGTAAGTTCTGAAGCTCTCTCCCCTTGAGTTGAGGAATATTACAGGCTGACAAGCTCGACCTTCCAGGTTCGTTCTTGTTCCTGTTGCTTCAAAGTCGGGTATCAGTCTACACCAGCGTCTCCTCAAAGCCGTCATGCAGTGAGCACCGTCCGTTACCCCCTCATACGACAGACCGTGAATCTTAATGTCTTGTCCAGCGCGCCCCTATCTCTGTTCACGAAAACAGATACAGGATCCCTCACCACCAGGTAGGCTTGGATTTACGCCGCCTTCATCCCCCCGCGGAATTATCAGACTAACACGCCATAGATTTTCGCAAGATGTAGGTCTGATAGACAGAAGCCTCCCCCTAGCTCTAGTAATCTCTCTCGCAAGTAAGCCATAAACCCCCCTCCACTCCAGTCTCAAAACCATGGCGGCAACATCTAACCCAAGCATCCCCGGCAGGCTTCTTCACCTGCATCGGCAAAGCATTCCTCATAGCTTCCGCCTCATGGTACATTGCCATCAGCTTCCCCGTCTTGATCCTCATCTTCTACTACATCCAACGCGCCTACCTCCGCACCTCCCGCCAACTCCGCCTCCTAGATCTCGAAGAGAAAGCTCCCGTCTAGTAAGTCCCCTTTCCTCTCTGCCCTCACCAAAAAAAAACCCTTGACTATCAAATTTCAAACCATGCGTCAAAACTAATCAATACATCTCCAAAAAGCACCCACTTCCTCGAAACCCTCTCAGGCCTGCCCACAATCCGCGCCCAAGCCCTCACACACCCCTCCATAACCCACGCCCACGCCCTCATAGACCGCTCCCAACGGCCCTTTTACATCCTACTCCTCACCCAGCAGTGGCTCACCCTCGTCCTCGACCTCACAACCACGGCGCTCGCCCTCCTAGTCGTCGGCCTCGCCGTCCATCTCCGCGACACCGTCTCCGTCGCCCTCACGGGCGTCTCCCTCGTCCAGCTCATCTCTTTTACAGAGACGCTCAAGCTGCTAATCCAGTTCTGGACCTCGCTCGAGACCTCCATCGGCGCGGTAGCCCGCATCAAGAACTTTGCCGAGGAGACGCCGGACGAGGTCGAGGCGGATGCTCTCACGAGGGGGCTGATGATGTCTCCGTCCGCCACTGGGGGGCAGCAAGACCCAGCTGCTGCCATCGTCCACGGCTGGCCCTCCCGCGGCGCCATTGAGATAAACGACGTCGTGGCTTCATACGAACAGCAGACGCACCCAGACACCGATACCGACACCATCACCACGAGAGCCCTAGACGGCATATCCCTCTCCATCCCCCCCGGCTCCAAAGTCGGCATCGTAGGCCGCACAGGAAGCGGCAAGTCCTCCCTCCTCCTCGCCCTCCTGCGCCTCCTCCCCCTCTCCTCCGGCACCATCTCCATCGACGGGGTCCCCCTCGACGCCTTACCTCTCCTACCCCTACGATCGGTCCTCGTCGCCATCACCCAGGACCACTTCGTCTTGCCGGGTACGGTCCGTCAGAACCTTGATCCGCTGGGCCTAGTATCCGACGCAGATGCTGGCGTTGATGCGGATGCCGAAGCTGGTGCCGACGCCGAGAATATCCTCGTATCCGTCTTGACCCGCGTCGGTCTATGGGACACCATCCGCGACAACGGCGGACTAGAAGCCCAATTCGCCGAGGAGGCGCTGAGCCACGGACAGAGACAGCTCTTCTTCCTCGCAAGGGCGATTCTCAGAAAAGATGTCGGACGGGTCCTCCTCCTCGACGAAGCGACGAGCAGGTGAGACTCTCCTTTCCCCCCAATTCTTTTTCTACTTCTGGGAAGCCCAAAACTGACAGAATCCATCTACACAGCGTCGACGCGCACACGGAGCGCATGGTCAAGGACCTCATCCGCGACGAATTCAAACACCACACAATCATTGCCATCGCCCACAGGCTAGACACGGTCGTCGACTTTGATCGCGTCGTGGTTCTCGACAAAGGCCGCGTCGTCGAGGTCGGCAACCCTCGGGACCTGTTGAACCAGGGACGGGGCAAGTTCAGAGAGCTGTGGGATGCGAGTCGGCGGCAGGCTGGCGGACAAGATGAATGATGTCTCTTGGACACGGGATTGATTCCACTCTGGATCGAAGAAGGACTGAATACACAGAAACTTTGTTGGAAATGTTTTATAAATGAATTTGATATTTCTTCAAAATATGAACGGCATCAACGGCATTTGCGAATCCTCTATCGGATCACTGTCCACGTTGATAAACCTCCCTTTTCCAGCTCTTTGCGCTACAATGTACTTTTCAATCGCCTTTGCCATTTGCGCCGCCTCACGGAACCTCTCGTGGTCCGCAATCGGCGTGTCTACGCTGATTTCATACCCATACCTCAACTTCAACTTTGTGACCTTGCCCCATGGCCCGGTCCAGTCGACATGGTCTCCGTCAACGTTGGCCATGAGCGCCTTGAACCACGCGCCGCAGCCTGTGAGATCGAGGTACTCCAGCCCGTAGAGGTACTTGCTCAGCTTTCTCAGCAGAATGACGGCCTCAGACCAGTCATCGTCAAGAGTATGCGCGTACGCCCCCGTGCCTGAATAACTCTCGGCGCGGCCGTCAGACGATACAATCTTGGAGAACTTTGCGTTGGGCGTCAGCGACGGCTCGGGCCAGTACGCTAGGCTCAGATGCGTGAGCGTGGGCAGCTTCGCTGCGAGGGAAAGGAGCTGCTTCCATGATACGCCGGGCGCCCCGCCGCCTTGCTGGGCGCTAGGGGCGACGGTGAGGCAGAGATGCGTGATATTGGGGAGGAGCCTCGGCGGGAGCGAGGGCGCCTCTGCTGTGTCCCAGGAATCCTGCACGGCCTCGGCAGCGCTCGTCAGCTGCTGCGGAAATAGCACGTCGGCCAACTCCCTGACGGACATGGAGTGGCCCACCGAGCCAGTCAGGTCGAGGGAGTAGACGTCGTTGTTCAGGGACACAAGGCCATCGACGTCAAGTGGCTGCTGGCCGTCGTGCGTCGCAGGAGGAATCAGAATGTTGTGCAGGTCTGCAGCGGATGCGCCGCCCTCGTACCATACGCCAACATACTTTGCCAACGAGGCCCTGACGCGGCTGGGCAGCGTGTGCAAGTAGTACTGATCGTAATCCTTATGGAGCTCCCAGTTCAGGGCCATCCTTCGAAGGACGAGATCCATCAAGCTGCCCTTGTCCGGCTCGTATGTGCCAGGCAGGCCCTCCATGGCCTGGGCGCCGCGGTGGGCGGCGGTCGCGTGTGCGCGCTGGACATGGCTGGATCGTGATAACCAGCTGCGTGGAGGTGGCGGGCCTGGTGGTACTCGTCTGCCTGTGGCGTCGAATCTTGGGACACGCCTAGGTGCCGGTGGAGGCGTCTCTGGGATCTGGAGGATCTGTCGGAGAGCGGGCGGGACGGTGGGCGTGGTCGCTGCCGATGCTGCTGCTGATGCTGTCGGGGTAGCACGGGAGGATGATCGACGAAGATCAGCCAAAAGTTCGTTGACGCCCCTACGTTGGGTCTCTGTGTTGCATCATTGTCAGTGGCCGAAGCGACGTCACGTAAAGGAGCTTGGTGAGAGAGGAAAGGCAAGGATGGGATAGAGAGAAGGAAGAGGAGAGGAGGGGCCACGGCCCGGGGGTGTGTGATGGGCGATGGGCGATGGGCGATGGGCGTGGGGTTGGAGTTGGACTTACGGGTAGAAGAAGAGGCTGAAGCTGAGGCACCCAATGAAGACGGGGCAGTTGACTGCGGCTTCGAGTATAACGCTTGATGTCTTTTCTTAGTCATGCCCGGGTGAGAGATGGATGTAAGGTAAGGAAGGGGGGAAGCTGTGAGAGGAGGCTTCCGGATGGGAGGTGTAGGCGGGGGGTGGAGAAGCCAGGTAAGGTTGGTTCTCGTCGTTGTCGTCGATCGTTGTTGTTGCAGAGCAGAGCAAACAAGCTTCTATCCGGCGCGGCTTTGTCTGCTATGTACTCCCTGTACTCTGGAATGTTGTTTCCGCCTTTTGCATCCGCCTTGGGGTAAGCGTCAGCAACAACGAGATGAGTCGCTAGTTGCTCGGGTCTTGTTTTCTGCTGTGAGTCACAAGGCAATTTGGTCAGTCAGTCAGTCAATCAGTCAGCATACACAGTAAGCTGCAGGGCGAGATGAGAACAGCAGAGTCATTGCCTCGCTTTCCCCAGGGCAGTTGTTGCTCACCAAAGGATTGATTGATGCCCTAATTAGGTAGTAGCTTTTTAGGATCGAATAAGGGCCGTAGTGTGGCTTGGAAGGGGGGGAAACGTTACAAACGTCATGCTGCAAATGGGAGAAGCAGCACCCCTCATGCGCCTCGTCTTTGTTGTTTGTCAGCTTCCGCCAGTTGCCAATTGGATCCGCCCACAAGCGCTAATACCTCTACGGAGTACCTTACGCTGCTTCCCTTCCACTACAGGCGTCCAGACTGAGTGCCCGAAGTAAGGCCCGGGTTTACACGGACTTCCAGACTCCCAGTGCCCTTGCTCAGTGCTGAATCACTGAATGAGTCGGGCGGCAGGGCAGAACAGGGCAGGGCAGGGCCTTTCCACCTTGGGGCAAACGCATGGTCTGAGCGTTCGGATGTGCGAAGAAGGTGCCCCGGCCCGGACACGGGCAGGACCCGCTCTGCCGGTCGACGGCTCGGCAGGTCCTGAGCATTTGACAATCGACGACCTTGTGGCTTGACCCACTTCGAACACCTCATACCTAAGGTAAGGTGCTACCTTACAGGAATGAAATTGACTCGGGCCCCCTTCAAAACAACAACCTCTACGGCCCGACTGACGGGCTTCTGGGGCCCCTCGTCTCCGAATCAACTTCAATTGTCTCTGTCCATCACTTTTACGATAATGTGAGAAAATGGTGCTCGCCTTGCAGACTCGAGTGCCGCTAGACCTAACAGCATCTTAGAGTTTAAGACTACATCCGCCAGCTTTGTGCCACCCCTCTTTCGTGTAATGTTTCAGCAGGGAATTCCAAGAGAAGAGATTATTACCTACCTTACCGCCTTACCTTAGCATCTGTCCATGGACCAGGTACTCCAATGCGGGGCGTGACTGATGAGCAATGCATGTCATGGACGCCACCAGCACCGACGGATGGATGGCGATACCTAGATCCATCGAACCTCGAACCACCCTCTTCTCTGGAACTGGCTTACTATGGCGGTTTCGATGCAAGAAGCCGCTATATCACAACTCATTATACTCGCCAAATCCGTCCTCGTGGCCAGATAGTGTTTGTGTGACCTTCTCAGGCCTACCCAGGCTCAGAATAGGCTGTCTGTCTTGTGTTTTCAGCTGTTGTTGTCAATGACTGTCTCGAATCAGCGATGGATCCATATTGAGAAGATGGTGGTAGCCGGGCAAAGTGGACTTTTTGCTACGCGCCTTGAAGACCGGGTAGCCGCACAGCTGGCTCTATCAATTGACTTTCCTCACGTCATCCTATTGGGCTACTATCATCACGATTCAGTAGCCCGTTGAAGATATCGCATCATTTTGACCTCATCGAGGGCTAGGCCTTCCCTAGACCCAGATGTTGGCGTACGAGCCAGAGCTGTTATGATTATCTCAGGCAGGTAAGCCACGTCAAAAGCGTAGCAGCGTTTGCCTCGACATCCAAAGGGCCCAGTAGCCGATGGATCCATGGGTCTATCATAGAGGGCCCGTCCAACGTTGCATCCACAAAAGCCCATGGCAGGCTCCTGACAGGCGGGCCTGAAACTGGCCTGCTGAACAACGTGCGTCTTGGATGCACACGGTGTTCGTTGTTGACTTTTGCTAATGGCGCGACATCTTCAGTTTTGGTACTCTTGTACGCTCAAGACGACAGACGGGTCAGGAGGATACTGTCAGCCCCCCACAGATGGAGATTTGCGGATAGTCTAGGACGGTCTTCAGGGATACCCGAGGGCGACCGGGGCGGGCAACCTGGGTGATCGACCGCTCCTGATCCTTTACCAATCATCCCATTGTGTTGTGGAGGAGGCCTTCAGCGGGGAAGTAAGATGCCTTACACAACATGGTCAGGGGCCTAGTCATGGAGACGAAACATGAGGTGGCGTTTGGTGGCAAAAAGGCTTGCTGACGGAGTCTTGTGCGTTTGACAATTCGAGATTGACAGTCCCAATCTGGAAGGAGAAAGCGAACAAATTCGGAAATCTGTGTTCCAACATTGGCCAGATTCGATATCAAAGGCAACGTGATGAGAACCCTGTCCTTAGGGAGGCCATCGAGGGGCAGTCTTTCGGTAGATGGGCAGTCACAGCCCGTGAATGTCGTGACGATCCCAAGGCAATGGCTCCCAGGAGAATGCTCATGTGCCCCGTGTAGCCTCGAAACAGCCATGGCCGTAGCATCCACTACCCGATCCGCGACATGTGAGCCATAGCCATCGGCCCCCAAAGACTTGCCTATACCGCACACGACTCCACCAAATCTGGTGTCTTGAGCGATACGCTGTCGCTCTTCGGAACAAGCCTGGTAATCGAGACCGAAAGACAGTGATCGGATCCTGATTGTGTTATTCTGGATGTTTTCCCTGAGACAGCCAATTTCTTTTCTCCTTTTGACTGCTAGATTTTCATGACGTGGAGGTCCTTTCGGCTAAAACCCTCTTGTGTCACCTGGAATGAATGTTGTTGACCCGAGGGGTACAGTCCTGCAAAGACAGGGGGCATGGCATGCCCGGTAGTCACGATGCCTGACCTTCAGGCCACAGAGCATTTCCTGTCGTTGGAATGGCGCAAAGAAACCTAGGCCGGTAGTCTCACGGCGCCTCGGTCAACACGCTCTTTCAACTGGGAGCTTACGCTTGCCGGGTTGACCTTGCGCAAAAGACGAGTTCGGCGAAGACAGCGAGAGTATCGGGAAGTGAGCATCGACAGCTTGAAGCTGACGAAATCGCTCCTCGTAGAACAAGAGCTGGAAGTTTCTTTCTTGACCGCCTTTTTGACAATTTCGCGAGGCAGCCAGCATACCGGGTCCTTCTGTCGCAAGCCGTAGAGAGACGGGGGTGGCTCATTATAAGCCTAGTCAAGAACCTAGATGCCGGCATCAAATGAGA